TCTTTCTGTTTGAAGGCTCATTGCATGTGACAAACAATAAGGAAATAATGGCTATTCTCTTTAGTGTTTAATGGCAGTTCTTTTTGATGCAGTTTCTTTTCTATTTAAACTTTTCTTTGGAGGCTTTTGTACMAAATTTGGCTGATGGAAACAATTAAGGAGGGTGATGGGCATATCATTCAAGCATAGTGAACTAAATTGAGAAGCTAGAATCTGTCTTYTGATAATTAACTCCTAGGCCCCTTAGGAGAAGATTCCGAGCACAGAAGGAAGTTGTCTGAAATCAGATATGATGATTATTTAATGAAAAGTGTCCTTTTGTCCTTGAATATCACACCTATTTCTTCGTTGCTTTCACCCTTCCAAACAAAAACATAGTAGTCATATTTTTTATCTTTCTTTTGTTGCTGCTGTTCTGAAATTTTCAAAGCTGATTGTTACAAAGATGCAGTGGTGCCTTTCTTTTTCCTAAATAGTTTCTCTTAGGGTAGCTATTTTTGTTAATTTTTTATACCAGCTTTAAAATTTTTCCTGAGAAAGCTTAAGTTCTCTTTTTCCTATAGCATTTCTGTAAGTGGTTCCTGAGCAACAAATAACAGTTACTGTAGTTTGCAAAGACTTGACAGCCCTAACCCTTCTGGGTATGCTCTGCTGTAGACCACAGTGCCAAACCAAAACATTCAAAGCAAGTTTCTTGGGGGCTGGAAATGTCTTTGAATACTTGGTTAATCCTAGCAGGATGGGGTCTTGTTTGAGCCCTCTTATCACTGTTGCATTATAAACAAATGTGTTAATATGATGTGCCTTTCAGCCTAGTGGTGTGRTGGTGTTAGTCTGACACAGCAACAGCAGCTTAATGGTTTATCATAAATTACTAYGTTGTGGCTCAGTTAGCAGGGGTTTTGGAAATAAGAAATTGTCTGAAATGTTTGTATAATCAGTAATTCTAATTCTTTTTTCTTTCATCAATAGTGAATTAAATTCAAAACTGCAAGACACCTTGGAACAAATAGAGGTAAAAATTAATATACTGATTTTTAATATATGTTAATAATTAGGTACGTGTTAGTATTTAATCTCTAAATACTAGCGCTTTCGAGTACAATGTTGTTAGCAATTACAGAATGTATATATATATTTCTTTCAAGTACTCTCTTTGGATGCTGTAGCCATTGCTGTTCATGGAGACTTTAGTGCTGTAATCAACCTAAATGCTCTGTAATATGTTATATGAGCCCAGTTCACTAGTTTTTCCCACATAAATGGTAGAGCAGACAAAAAAGTCACATAACATTTGAAGTGCTGAACTTCTGTGAATTCTTTAGACTACTTCTAAAKAGTTGTGAAAAGTAAATTAACAGCCAGTGGTTTGGATAAGCCATACAAGAGATCACAGTTTTGCAGGAAATTTTAGAGGCCAGCAAACTGGAAACTGCTGGATAGGACCAGTGCTAAACTGTAGGAAATTAGACGTGAATAGCTGTGGAGGACGTGGTTAAGGTTGGTTTAAGTTTGGTAGATAGTATCTACCAAAGCAAATGAATGTAAAATGTTAAGTGTCTTGCTGGAAAATTGTGGCCAAAAAAGGAATTCTTTGAACTCCAGTACTAGGCGATTGTGAGCTGGAACTTGGCAAGCTTTTTGTAAGAAGTTTAGCAATGTAGGTGTGTATAATGTATCTGTGATCCATGTAAAGCGTACGCATGTAATGTTTAGCACTCAAATTAGCAATTTCAGCAGCTGTCTACACCTATTRTCCTGTGCTCTTTAGAAAGTCAGACTAGCACGTGTTTTATCATACCTTGTATTTAATTCCCTCTAAAATTAGTACTTTGTTCGTTTTCTTCAGTATGTCTTTATACGTCAGCTTTTATGCAAAGCTTTTTTTGTTCTTTAAGTCCTTCTCTGGTAGTGCTTTATTCAGAGCATGTCTGGTTCAAAAGAGCTGATAGAATGACTGCTCTCTTCCCACTCTCACACAGGCCTTGTGAGAGTGAGCACGCTCATTTTTTCCTTGTGAACAAATACTGATGTTGCTTAAAAGGAGACCTGCATCTTTACTTCCTTCCAGTAAACAGCTTTGAAGAACAAATTCTGGTCTTATAAAAATATGATAAACTGTGCCGTATTGGTTGGTGAAAGAAATTTGCAGCTAGCTAAATCATCACATTCAAGATTTTTATTTATTACTTGTGAATTTAGAAAAATATCTTAWTATCTTCCTCTGAAAGTAGCTTATTTTCTACTGGAATTATGCCTGTGCATATGGGAGAAACATAAGTCATCCTGGGGTCTGTGGAGTATTGCTGAGAAATACATGKTCTAATTAATATAGAATAATATTCYGCTAGTTAGGATTTCAGTAATGAGTTTTTTTAATAGTTGAGTGCCTCTACTAAAGTCCATTCCTCTTTCCTTTTTCTTSTTTTATTTTAATTTAGGTKTTAACATAGGTCTCACTTTTATACTGTGTTACAAATAAAATGCAAGGTGGCTATAGTGGAAGGAACTATTGAAAAATRTAACTGAAAAGATTAATGTTCTCTGTGTTTAAGAGCTCTTTTTGTGGGCAAATGTGCCCTGTGTTTGATATCCCAGTTTTTCTCTTTGTAGAGCTGTTCTGCAAGAAACAAGATAAGGAACTTTTTTTTTTTTTTTTAAAAATCAGTATGTGACTGAAATTCAAATTGCTGAGTAATGTCTTAGAGAAGTTCTGAATCTTTAGGTTACTTTTACCATTTGGCCTAGGAAAGAAAGTACAACAAGGAACATCCACCAAATCCCTAGGATTAAACCCAAAAATAYTTTGTGGCTAATGATGTAATTCATGAACATTTTTCAATGGAGTAAGTAAAAGTTTGTAAGGGACTAAACAACCATCTAATGCAGTTTCTATTTTCAAGAGCAAGACTGTATTGCAAGATCATTAATTAAAAGAATCAAAATGGCTTTAGTATTTAGCAAGGAAAGAGAATACTTGCTAGCTGTRTGTGTTATTATGTGGTATTGATTTGTCCTGCTTTTATTTTTTGCATTATTGATTGAAAATATCTAGAGTTAGGCTATGTATCTGAATATATTACAGCATCTAAATGAGAATTATATTATTAAGCTACATAGTCAAATTCTTGAAAACTTTATTAGTAATTAAATACATGATCGTGTTGATTTTTTTTCACTTAGTTTACATAATACGTGAACTTAATTTATTGCATAGCTGTTCAGTATGCTCTGACACAACTCTGCTGACAGAACCAGTATTTGTGTGTCTACTTTTTTTCTTGACTCTCTCAGGTACTGATTGTTGTGCTGATCTAGTATGCTATAAATGACTGTCTTCCCAAGGAATTTTTAATTCAGATAATGTTAGTTCCATTTAGCAGATGCAGTCAGAGAGTTAAGAAGTGTAATTGAATTGCTTGAGCTGAAACCCTCCCATCTGGGTTTTTCTTAGGGGTGGAAGTAGACCAATGTAGAAATCCCCGCTCTCCCACGTGGCCTTGCTTGGGCTTCTCAAAGTCAGTATCATTTCGAATTTGATTTCAGTGAAATAATGTCCTTTTTCTTGCTTATTCTTGGAAGTGATGGACCTCTTTGGCTGACACTGAAGTACTCACACGGCAAGAAATAACATTTAAGCACCTCAGAACAATTCAGTCATATATAGTCTTGGTTACTTCTCAGCCATAATTATCAGACTGTTTAAATAAACATCTTGCTTGCTTGCTGTTGTTTAAATAATGGTTTTGTTTAGTATTTAACACATTTTTTTTTCATTTTTACAGGAACAACTGGATGTAGCACTTTCCAAAATATGCAAGAATTTTGATATCAATCATTAYACAAAGGTTCAGCAGGCTTACAGGCTACTTGGAAAAACACAGGTTAGTACTTATCCTCTGAGGAAGTCACAAAGAATAGTTATGTCACAGCATGAAGCTTTGAGTACTGTGATGATAATTTATTTTCCTAATTGTGATTTAATCCCACATGGCAGCTAAACCCCACATAGCTGCTTGCTTCCTCCTTCTTGGTGAGGAAAGTCTGCCAATGTCAGAGGGCAGACGGGTGTTCAGCCATCCCCAAGACTGCAGTTCTCAATCACGTGTAATAGTGACTTGTGAAGGCAAACTTCACCACATCCCTGTTCTGTCTTCTTGCCCCAGCTTTTATTACTAAGCGTAACACCACATGTTGTGGAATATCCCTTTGGTCAGCTGGGGTCAACTGCTCTTGCTGTGTCTCCTGTCAGCTCCTTGTGCACCCCCAGCCTACTCTGGAGGGTTGGGGTGGGAAGCACAAAAGGCCTTGACCCTGTGTAAACCCTTCTCAGCAATGGCTAAACATCCCTTTAGTTTCCAGCACAAATCAAAAACATAGCCCTGTTTGAGCTACTGTAAAGAAAATAAACTCTATCCCAGCCGAAACCAGCACGCTAATGCTGATGGATCTTGCTGAATATGCAGAGGTTTTTATAATACTCAGATAATTGAACTGTACTTGCTAAAGGTAAGCTGTGTGTTACTGCAACWTGTAGCTTTTTGGACAGGTTATGRCTGTAACAGTTGCATATTTCAGCTSTGTTTGTACTRCTGTTTGCACTATTCTTTGCATTTGGTCATGGGAATATTACTTTTATCACTAGGTCTGTGTTTCTGGGTTGTGTGCAACTTCCATTTTGTACTGTACATGATGGGAATGGAACCTGTGAGGAGATAGTTTTTTTGCAGTAAAATACATCCCATGGCACRTTAACACATACATGTGGACATGTCTTGAAAGTTATGTCTCTGTGTGCCTGAAGCATTTTCTGTGTAAATAAGAGTAGACCTAAGTTCTCCCATAGGTATAGTTCTCTTCTGTTTGGTGCCCTGCCTGAAGCTTCATATTGGTTTGTTTTTCTGGGAGGGTAATCAAYCTGCAGTTGCCTTCTGCAGCAGGTATGAAGTATGGGAGCTAACACCAAGGTCCTGTGAAGTAAAGGGGATAAGGAGACATGATCTTGGAGACATGCTTTGTCACTGATCAGTGTTCATGAAACAGTGAGGCTGGACGTGGTGGTGCCCATGTAACAGTAATGATGTACTTAGGGAAGAGATTGCCTCACAAAGCTTTACTTGCTACAGATCAAGTCAAAGTCAAAGCACCTGCTCCCTGATGAAGATAGGCCAAGAACCCAATTTGTTTTGTATTGTGCTTGGTTTTTCCAGATTTCAGAAGCATATCTGATATAAGATGGCCTTTCTTGGGTTTGTTTTAAATTTTTGTTTGTTTTGYTTCTTTCTAATTAGACCCTTTCTAGCAAAGTTGARTTCTTTTTTTCCTGGCTTGATTGTGATGACAGTGTAGCTCTGCAATAGGATAGAAATAGATTTATCTTCCCATACTTYGTTAATGTGCAGAACTATTGGAATGTCTAAAGACTGCAACTTAAAATCAAGGGAGAAGATTCATTAGACCTTTTATTTGTTAGAGCATTTTATGCAATTTCTTTATTTCTTTATTTACAGAATTAAAGTATGTGCAATGCATTCACTGCTCCAAGTCAAGTGCATGGCATATTGAGAAAGACAGATTTTTTGTTGGAGAGGAAGAAAGTTTCTGACAAAATGAAAGTGTTATTTGTTACTGCATGGTTTTGCCTGCTTTGTTCTGTTATAGAGTGACTTGGTTTTGACATTATTTTTATTACTATTAAAGTATGTAGTTTGAACTTCTCTTGAAAATAGTTTAGTTGCACTGGTTTTGAAATATCTCCCATTTTGACCTCTTCTCAGTAAACAAAATGTCAAGATCCTTCAGTATTTTCAGTACTTTACATTATTTCATTTCTCATWCTGTTTTCTTTGGCTAATTCAGCTTAGGACTAGCTGTAGAAAATGGGTTGTTTTTAACCAGCTTTAAGCAGAATTGCTTCTTCATTTCTTATAGAGTGATTAAATTCTCAGCTCTTGTCAGTAGCTAAAGATGTCAAATAGGAAATAGTGAAACTGAACATTTTCAAATCTGCAGGATATGATAACTTTATTCTTGCATATGAAAGATTGTTTTTATCAGTTCCTATATACCATATGCTSATTATATGGATATCCTGAAAGAGTGAGAAAATCCAATTTTGGAAATGGAATAATGTTATGTACTGTTTATCAACAACAGGAACACTTGGGAAGCATCATGATGTGAAACTCATGCATGATTATGGCAAAACTGATATGTTATGTAGTCATTAGTTCTTAGTACATGTATGTAACTTTCCTGGAAAAAGTAGGTTTGTTTTTTTTTTTTTAAACAAATGTCCTCTTTTTCCTATCAAAAAGAAGAGTTTTATAGGAAATTTATTTATATGATATGCATGCCTTTCTGTAACACTTAATTCTGCTGTAGGTTCTTCACTTTGGCAATAGTATGAAGAATTTGTAATTGTGGTTTTAATTTTAGTGATCGTAAAGGAAATATTTTGTATTAGTTGGAAGTGTTTTCATTGGGAGAAGGAGTAGGAATCTCAATTAATTTCTTTTTGACACATTGTAAGTTACTGTGAGGGTAAATAAATGAGTTAATTCTATAATTAGCTATATTATATAGGGGTAAAATTGATATTTACTAGTGACAATGTAAAAAAAAGGTGGATGGTAGATGGCAGAGGAAACTGATTTTATTTGTAATACCTGAACTCTTTTATGTGACCATATTTTAGTATTGCCAAGACCTATGTTAGGTATTTTTGAGACAGAGATTGGAGGATGTGCTTGCAAGTGTTCAGTACTGAAAAAGGCTTATATTAAAAGATGATGGCATATGAGGAATTGAATTCTRCTATTTGATTTTATGTTATTCCATTTCTTTCAGACAGCAATGGACCAGTTACATATGCACTTCACTCAAGCCATTCACAATACGGTGTTTCAAGTAGTCCTTGGATATGTGGAGCTATGTGCAGGAAACACAGACACTAAGTTTCAGAAGTTGCAGTACAAAGACCTCTGTACAGTATGTAATTCTTGCATATGTGAATGTTTTCTACTCTAAATTTTTTCACTGTTCTAAGTGTGCCTTATGTCCGTAGAGACTCAGTTGTTAAAATAACCTTGCAGTTGCTCTAGTTTCTTAATACCATTTACAGCTATTCAAGGTAATTGTTACTCACAGCTTAATGTTGATTTTGATTGTACTGAATCTTAGCACTTTGGAATTATTATTCACTCYATCTGACACCAACATTTCAAAACTTGTGTGTCTTCAGTATGATATGCTAGTTATTGGAATAATTTATCTTTGAACTTTATGCCAGTGCATTTAGGTAGTATTCACAATTTTTCTGATACTGCATTTCAGTAAGGATTCTTGTAAAGATGCAGATTTAATTGGAGTCTTCCCATTACTCCTGGCTTTGTGTCATTCACTTTTCATTTTCAYATTTAATTTCACATTTTTGGTGTCAGGATAAGGGACAGCTGTTATATTGCGATGCAACAGCCTGATGATAGGCAGATCATGGACTGGGAATATYCATATGTTTTCCTCAAGTATAAATTTTTAATTGCAGTTTCTTGCATATTTTGTAATGTTAGAATGAATTACTGTAATCTGAATAGGATTTTTATATCACTCTTTAATGTTTTCACTTGGGATTTTACTGCTACACCTTGAGAAATTTTCTAAAACTTCAGTGATGGGGAAGAAGAATGTGAGATATTTTATGTGGTTCTAACCATTGAAATTATGTTTCTATTTTGAATGTTCTTGAGGATGTTGTTTGTCACAGGCCTCATCATACTTCACCAGCTTAAGGACCCACCCCATCACTTGCAATTTATTAAATTAAAATACAGTCACAAGGAAATTAAAGCTCATGTTCTGATCCATTTTCGATTCTTTCACTTCTTGTATCTCCTGGGTTCATGTAGCATCAACTAGTGAAGAACACATCTGCATTGAAACACATTTCATTTTAGAGAAGTGCCTATTTGGCTTAAGAAGCTAGCATAATCTAAGAGCCTTCATATAAATGAAAGTGTGATATGTAAAATAAATTTATTGACTTAAGTATTCATGAGCATAATGAGTAAGATTCCGGATAGGTGGTATTTCCATTTCACCTGAGATAAGAATTCACTGAGAGATGAATTCTAGCTGCAGAAAGCCAGCAAACCCCAGTCTTTGTTCTGTGGACTGCAGTTGCTTCATCTTTTTGCTATAAGCCTTCAGAGTGTGGTTTTATTTTCTTTTGTTAGTTTCTACTGAGCTTTTCTTCTAAGGTTTTTTTTTTTTTGGCTCTATACTTCTGTATGCCCTTCAGTTTATTTCTCATTCCTTGCTACTACTAGTGATACTAAGCCCATTTATTTACACTTACTAACTACTAATGAGCTGCTTCTGACCACTTMCAAAATACAGGTTGTGTGTTGCTGTTTATCCTTACACTTGAGTGTGTGGAGAGGTATTTCAGGTACTTGGAAATACCATGTTTTGTCATACACAGAAACTGCATGGTTACAAAGTTATTACCTCATTATTTCTATTTGTTTTACTTACGCAAAAACCTTAAGGAGATGATGCTTAGGTTATTTTACCCTCAATAGCTGGCAGTCTGTATAAAGGAAGGTACTTTAATATACTATGAATATTGCTGTAATTGCATTGAAATTTACTTTCAAAGTTTTTTGTTACTATCTCGGTAACYATTARATATTTAGGGACAGGTTGCAGATGRGAAGTTTTGATCTCTTACAAACMATGCTGTTCAGTGTTGGTTGTTACCTGTTGCAATGCATTTGTGAAGTCAGGTTGCTGAATAAGGTGAGCTATCATATCAATTCAATTTCTAACTTCCTGTAGAAAAAATACCAGCAGATTTTCATCTCATGCATTCAGTTGTTGTTTMAGACTGAAATATRAGCCTTCTTTCTCTTTGYTTAGTTYGAGTGAGAGCCCTCTTCAGGCTGTCTATGCTGTTGAGCCAGGATGTCCTTAAATATAAAAGGTTATGGAGTACTTACTCTAATTAAACAGGGAAGTAATACAAATCTGAAGTATTCTTTTTGAGGCAGATACTCTGCTGTGTATTTCTAAAAATCTGTCAAAATGAACTCATTTAGTTTATTTCCATTGTATATGGGTAGTGGGGGACTATAGTGGCTTTTTTCATTGTTTTGTTTGTATCTTTTTGGAAGCCAGATACTGGATATTATAATAATGTGAGTTTTTAAAGAAAGAATAATGTTTTCATAAATGCTTAAGCATTTATGAAAGTTAGTGCCTGTGCACTGAGTCACTGTTTCCTTTTTGAGTGTTTTTTTTTTGTTAGCAATATGCCATGCTTTTGCATCTTTTGTCTTTTTGAATATTGCTGGAGCAGAGCAAAGCTTGGCTGCTTCAGTCTCAAGTTTTGTTTTTCTTTATTCTAGTRTAAGCTCAAAGAAATTCACTTGTTTATTTCCTTAGTCTAAATTGAATTATCTTGATATTTAGTAAGTAATCCTTTCTTCCTCTCCACCTGAAAGTTASTATGTCTTCAAGTATAGTGATATGCACAAGCGAAGTTTAGATTTTAGATACAAAAAGCCCTGAAATACAGAGTAACATTTCCTGATGAGTTGGTAGAGAAAATTGCTGAATCAGCAAGTTTGTTTGCTTTTCATTTACTTCTTTATCCATCATTCAACCCAATGGGGTACTCACCAGGAAGGTTTCTACGTAGTACTGAAGTACAAAAGTCTGTATCATTGAACTGGTGTCACATGTCTGCAATGTCAATCAATCTCGAAGCTGATCCCTCTGATAGTGAGATGTTCTGACCATTAGACTTTATGGCTTTATTTCTGAGTCTGTGTTACTGTGAAATAAATATAAGAGGTAGTTAACATACAGGCCAGTTGAGAAAAGGGAAAAAAACCCCAATGCTAGCAACCTCACTTTGTGCTTTTGGTAAGTTGATTAGTTGATCAAAGTCAGGAATCCATCACCTCTTAAAATACATTTGAAAAGGAAACTGATGTATGTCAGTTCAGCTGTATGAATRTGGAGAGTTTTGTATGGTTTGTTTTGCTGCAGCAAWAAATGAACATGRTTTTGAAGTTTCACAATGCTATTTTGTTTTTCTRTAGCACATTACATCAGACAGCTACATTCCATGCTTGGCTGATCTCTGCAAAGCCCTCTGGGAAGTCATGCTCAGTTACTACCGAACGATGCAGTGGCAYGAGAACCATGACCAGGATGAGGCAGCAGTTGTGTCTTCTGGTAAGAAACTGCTCGAAGCAAAACTTCTGATACATTTCTTTTGCTCAAGTTAGTAACTTGTATGTTGATACCTTTGTGGTCTTGACTCAGTGCTTTCAGCATTTTTGCTTATAGTGTGCAGTAAAGACTGAAATACTCACTGGATTTTTTTACTCTTCAGTATAATGTTATTTTTTAATAAATATTTGTATATGCCAGTGTTGCAGATATAAATTATTTTATTTTAAACATTGCTTAGGGAAAATATCGTTCCCCTATTGTGTGGGATCTTAAAAAAATGATAATAAAAAAATTCTAAAATGTGGATTTGCTGAAGCTGTTTCTTGAGTTGAAGCCATTGCTTCAGATAGAAGTTTCTATAACTATATCAGATAAAATTCAGWGTTGAAATATTTACTTTTGAGATGYACTATKTTAAGAAAGATTCTAAATTTTTGATTGAATTGCCCATTCTCRATARTATTTACATTTAYATTTTAAATAAGATRATTACATTTTCTTCTCTTGTYTCCATTTTKCTSTGGTTTTTGCAAATGCAAAATCAGGCAGGTACCATAAACAACTTAATTAATGGAAAAAATTATCACAGTAATATATTCAGCCACATTTGCACTCATAAAACTAGTTCCCCTTATGATATCCTGAAGAAGGAAAATAGTCTGCACTCTAAAAGCCTTTTACAGGAACCATTAAACTGGTAAAGTGATATATACCGTTGTATACATAATATTAAATGCATTGCTTTTAMATGCATGCCTGAGTGTTTTGGTATGTTTACTACTAATCTTCTCTTACTCAGTTTTTAAGTTTCTAGGAATGTGGCTTAACTATAATGCACAACAGTAGGTGATCACAGTAGGTGATTTACTGAATCATTTGTTCAAATAYATCAGCAGTGATAAAGCACATAGAAGGGAATTTTACAAGTTTAATTTCAGAAGGACTATAAATATCTACTGGTTGTCTTTTTTTCCTAAAACTCATTGTTCATTCTGCAGTAATTATTAAACTTGCAAATGGAATTCTCATTTCATACTTATTGATTTAATGGCTGTGATATGTGCTAAAGCCAGAGAGTAAAATTCCTGTAGAAAGGGCATGCATATCAAAAGGAACCATGGAGGCAGTTCAGAGATTATGCCAAAGTTGTTCCTCAAATAAGCCCCATAGCCTGGAGCAGTAGATGTACCACTGTGTCTGGCTTTTATAATTTTGAGAACTCACAGCTGTTGCAGTATTGTCCCAAATAATGTCAGCACTCTTTGGAAGTACCTTAAGTGTGTCAAGGGACTCTTGGTCTTAGGGCACAATTATAGAAGTGAGAAGCTGGACTTAAAAGACATTATTTATATAGCTCTTCATATTTTAATAGTGAAACTTATCCAAAAGAARTCCTTGGAAAGACAGAATTAAGTATTTATATCTAGAACTTGTTTAATCCTACTGAAGATAAAATTAGTGAACTAAAATTATCAACATAACATGGAATGAGTTCTGTATCATATTTAATGAGTTGTAGTTTACTCTGTGATTTTGTTGTTTGTATGSAAAACAGCAAATTGCTGTAATGTGGGGTTTCATCCCTGAAAATAAACTACTTACTAGAAAATTTTCCATTACACTGTTTGTTGTGGTCAGAACATTGTTTGTATTTTTAGTAAAGAATCAAACAGAAAATGAGTTTTAAAGGGACCTATGCAGTCATTTTTGTCTTCCCTGCWCAAAGCAAAGTGAACTTTGAAGTCACATTGGTTTCTGTGAGGGCTTGCCTGGTTCAGTTGGATTTTCACATAACGTAAATTTATTATGATGTTGATGTAACTTACATATATTCATGAGACAATGATTTAACGCAAGGTCTGAAAGTGAGTGGTAAAAATGATCACCATAGCAATTAGACTTCTGATTTCACAAGTGTAATCCTAGTGGTAGAAGTTGGTGACAGCTCTAGTACCTGTAGAAGATTCAAAGAAAAACAAGAAGAAAATGGATGTAAATTGAATTTCAACCATTTTAATTTTCAGAATGTTTCATTTTTTAGTACTATGTAAATTCTATGCAAGAMCTGCTTAGTATTCAGAGAGTGAAGCAAGAGGACAGAGATTTGATTGGTTTCTTTTTTTTGCCTTCCTCTACCTAGCAAAGATYAAACAAAAACCTTTTGTTATGGCTGAAAGCTGCCTTTATGAATTTTTGAGAAATACTGAAAAACCTGAAGAATTACTGTATTTAAATCAGGCATCTAGAATAATAACTCCTGGGTGGTTTTGATCCTTGTTTTTATGTGTAGTTATGAATATTTATGYGTTCTACTACCTGTTCCACATTCATCAATGGAAAATGTGTAAATGYTTGTCCAGTCCTTGATTTTTCAAGGTGGTTACTTTAAAATAATGTGTTTGCATGTGTAAAATTAACTGCAGTGCAGTTTATTAAAAGATTGGAAAGAACACCTCTTATCATAACTGGGYGTGAACCAGGAGCATTGGGAGACTGATAGAGAGAGTATTCCATTGATTTTTTTAGTGAACAATAACATCTGTATTGCAGTGTCTGTCCGACCATTCCTTTATGAACGGCTGTTTGTGAGTACAAGGACTATGGTCTTAATCTAGAGAACAGATCAAAGACACTGACTTGTTTAGGATTGGCTTCAKTTTGAAGAAGTTTAAAAGAGAGGAGGTTGCAGAAATGTACAGAGTGTGTGTGGCTAAGATTGCTCGTTTTGTTTCCTGAGAAAAATTAGATCTACCTAATCATTTCCTGGCTGGGTTATTCGTTCTGTTTATGTTTTGTTTAATCTTCCATGTAAGGTTAGGAAAATGCATTGTCAGAATTATTACTTTCAGAAGATGAGCATATTGAAGTATAGTTACTAAATTATAATTTGTGTAGGCAGTGGGTAATATTTGTTTTATGATTTTTCTTTSATAAGGAAATATTTTTTTGTATGCCCTGTAACAGTAGGTATGTTTGAGTCTTGTTTGCACAACAAACAGCCTTTTGTCAKCTCCTTTTGAGTTATTAGGGTAAATTCTCAGTTAACCTGCAAAAAGCAGTCTCAATGTCTTTACACAGGAAAAAGCTGCACATGGCTCTGTAGCCTTGGAATAAATGAGTATTCCTAATATAAACCCAGATTACAGACTGTATTTTCTATGTTTTTAATTTTGATGAGGAGTTATTCAATTGACAATGGAGCGTTTACATTCTGGCTGGTTATTATGCTGGTTCTGTGCTCTTGAGTTCCAGCCTAGCGAGAAGACATTTTAACTCAACTGGCTGGCCAGTTGTTCTTGGTAATGTTTTATGTTCACTGCCATAATACCTAGCTTGCAGATAAAGCTTTCTCAGTATTTGATAAAGTTTGTAATTTAATAACATGTCCAGACATACCTTATGGCTCCACCTGAAAAAARTCAAGCAAGGCCACCATCCTTCTCAGTATTCATATTCCCCACATTTGTTTTTTTTAAATTTCAATGGAAGTAAAAATGTAGAAGATGTCATATTTTTGTTGTTCCTATTATATGCTCCATGAACGTTCCAATAATAGGCAATAGTTCTTGCTCTGAGAAACATACTCTGGCAAGGTTCAAAGCAGATGGTTGATGGTGAGAAGGAAGATATGTATTACACTCTTTTACTTAGAGTCTGGCCTAGRACTGGGAGAATGAGTCATTGCTAATTGATAATTGGTGATTGTTACAGAAGGAAACTGTGCTCACTTGACAGTGAGCAGTGAGTGATCTGAGGAAAATACAATCAAAACATGCTCAGACTGCKGTGCTGTTTTGTATTTTGTTTTAATTGAATTGTCAGTGTCTGATACAAGTCAGAACAATTCCTATTAGTGGATGATTATTTTTTCCTTCTCTTAAATATGTGGTACTCCAGGTAATGCTGCAGGGTCTGTTCTGCACACATCTGAAAAATTGATCAAAGTCTTATATCCAGTCTCCCATTCCTTACTGGCCTCATTAGAAAGATTCTCACAGTATTTACACAATACTCCTCAGCTGGCAAGGTCTGGATTCAGGACAAGGCATGACAAGGAAAGGGCACTTACCTTGTTGATAAATGTTTCTTAGTACTGATAGATGGAGGACAGATGTATGTTGTTTATGTTTCTGGACTCTTCTTCAATAGACAACAGAATTAGACATCAAAAATTGCTCATTTCTCTGAGATAGGTGAAACTAAGCCAGGAGTTTTTCTGGAAAAAGCTGTGAAGCCTTGTAATGAAAAACTGCAAAGGTCCTTTAGGATTAACTCTCACTGTGATCCTTGTAGCACATTACTGCGTAAAGAACACTGTTGTGACAGGTATTTGGTATGCAGGTGATGAAACTCTTCTGGTCTGCATTAACATATAGTGCTTATATGTGTGTTAYTCATTTCCATCCAAAAGTTTAGAGCAAAGTAGCTCTTCTGGAGTTTGCATAATCAATAATGTGGCAATAGCTAAGGAAATTTAATTCTGTGTAGGATAACTTTCAAAGCTTTTGAAAATACTAACAGCGCCTTTAACCCTAAGTTTCAGATGGCAACAATGTGATTGGAACTGAAGAGAACTGTTTTGACCGCAACTATGTAAAAAAGAAACTGGAACACGGGCTTTCACGAATATGGCAGGTATGGTTTTTGAATTTTGTTTCCCCTGAACTATTTATTCTCCCCCTCTTCCTCCTCTCTAGTATTATTTACAGTTATATTTATAATAGTRTTATCAAAGAAATGTCTCCAGGATTTTTTAGAAAGATTTGTTTTGGTTTGAATATATCAAGACTATGGAATTATAATTTCTATGACTCAGTAGTTGCAATGCTTCCAAACTCAGTCAAGATACCAAAACACAGTAACAGGACTTTCAGTCTGATTCAGTTTCTTTCAACCTGTGTGCTGTCACACAATTTTGTTCTCATATGCTTTTCTCTGGTTACTGCTTTATGTTTCTGGTATAACCATAGCTATGGAAAACCTGGAGCCTTGTGAACCTGCCTGGTTTCACAGTATTTCTGATCTGACTGGTAGATCAGTTTGCTGTGTAGTGTCAGCCAAAATCTATGATGAAAAAGCTGTGTTCTGTTTTTGCATTGACTATAAAGTGTCTAAGTTTGACTCCATCTGTGTTATAGAGTGCTAAAGAAACTGATTATAAAAGTATTTTAGAGAAATTATCCATGTTACAGAAAATGGAATTCTGTTCTAAATCTCRAAAAAGGAATTTCTAAATGCAAGCAACCAAACAGTGTTAATGAACCTGTCAACCAAGCCTTCACTTTTTGTCTTCAGTGTATTAAGTATACCAAAACTTCTTTGTGTTTTTTAGGATGTCCAGCTGAAAGTGAAAACATATCTTCTGGGAACAGATCTGTCTAACTTCAAATACGATGACTTCATATTTGTACTTGATGTTATCAGCAGGTATACTGGTGTGGTTGTAAGACCTTTCAGTACATGTCCACAAACTTGAACTCTGATAAGTTAGTGCTGTTGATTAAGGCTGATATTTGCATYTTGATGCCAATTTCATTCAAATATGCTGGTAGCTCAGGGAGCAATTCTTCTTTATGTGGAAGTTGATGAGGGTGTATTTGGAAGAGGTAACATGAGCTGCTTGGCTGCTCAAGTAGTGCTTAARTGTGATACGATTTCTCTATGTCTCATTTTAGGATTTGTGATCCGCAGGTCTAACCATTTTTTTTCTAAGAGCTTTTAAAGGGGATCTCAGTYGAGCAGAAAAGTACTGTGGTACTGCCAACCTGTACAATGTTATATCCTTCTGTTTTAGTAATAAAATGACAGATTGAGGCTGTGAACTGACAGCTTGGCTCTTTGTCTCTATGTGTGTGGGACATAATGATAGGATTTGGACGGAAATGAAGCATGGACTTTTACCAAATGCAGCCTTAACATTGAAATGTAAAATTGGTGTTTTGCATTTATGAAAWTACATGTACACTTATGGCTGGAAACAGCAGTGTTAAGAAATMAATAAATATTTCTAAACTTTGTTTTATTACTATAGGCTGATGCAAGTTGGAGAAGAATTTTGTGGCAGTAAGTCTGAAGTTTTGCAAGAATCTATCAGAAAACAAAGTGTTAACTATTTCAAAACATACCACAGGTGAGATTACTGCATGTGCAGCAGATGATTCTAATGACATTTATTTTTATTGGGTAAATACTTTGCAAAGGAATTCCACTGCATAATGTTCTTGCTTTGAGGTTGACAGTAGAATCTGTTTCATGATGAGAATAAGACTTTGAGCCCTGGAGAAGGGGAGAGGATAGAGAAGCTTTTGCTTCCACTTTGGTTGTGAAAAACCCTAGTTCTGCCGCAGACAAGCCAGATAAAGATGAAAACTTTTTTATGTAGAATTTCAGTAGTTTTTTAGGTTGCCTCCTAAGTTKTTGTGTGGCATCCTGAGGAGGAATGCCTCTGAAGTCCATACTTTGTAGCAAAATTCTTACTTCTTCTTCTGTGCCATTGCTTAAGAAGAGTGGTAATGTATGACTATGAAATGTTTTTTTGAGTATTCAAGTCTGTCTTCCGTCAAATAAGATATTTAGAACCATCCTTTTGAGTCATGTTTTCATGGCTTTGTAATTGGCAGAATCTAATTACATTTCAGTCAGCTGTGTTGTCATATCCAACATATGTGGCCAGTCATATGTGTTGTCATGGACAGACATTCTCTGGACTCAGATATGATACTTGGCTATGACAGCTTCAAGACTTGTCTTTCTGTTTGTTTAGTTTAGTTGCCTTGATTTTCCAAATGTTTTGGTTTGGATGATTGACAACTTTTTTAGTCTAGGTGTCTAGTAACATGCTCTGAGAAACTCTTGCTTTCATAGTTTTGATCTTTGTCCTCTGTTGTTCCTGAGRAATAGTCATACAACTAATGCATCCAGACCCATTTGRAAAGTCTGAGACTTTCTGCCTAAARTCCATAAAGTRTGAAAATTAGGRCAGGAGAACATGAAAYGGTGTCTAAATTCAGAGGATGRGAATGTTTAGAATTTCTTCCAGTTTTAGTAGTTTGTTGCTGGGAATTCTTTCTGATGGAGATGAAGACCTCTGTTCCAGTTGTCTGAAAAACTTGAGCCTTGATCAGATCCATATTATGTCTTGTCACGAGGTGCCATCTGTTTTTATTTATTGATTTTGTTCTCAATCCTCAACTGAATGTCACAAACTGATTTTGTTCTACCTAACCATCTTTTTCTGCTGACTTACCATATAATGCCTTATTTGGTTAAGTAAATATCATTTTCACTGTTACAAGTTTGCTTATGTTTAACAGCTTAAAGAATCATAGACTCATGTTCTGAATTATCTTTGAGTAAAATAAAGGTTAAAGAACATTGATGGAATATGTATAGAAATAATTTTTTGAAATAACTTGTAGTTTTTATTAAGGTAATGTAATTTTTCTGAAGATAAAATGAAGTATTTATTGACATGACTCAAATTATATGAAACCKTCTAATACTTTCTACATGTTTTATTCTGCATGGGTATTGTGAAGATTAATTGACTGATGTTTTTATCCTCAGGAATACTGTAAAAACTCCCTGTCTCAGAGCTATGCCCCTTAGGTTATTTTATATAAAAGCTTTAAGCATCTTGCATTTTCAGAGCAAACTAGTGTGGCTTTCACTCCTCTTGGGTATTTAATTGGAAGGAAAAAAAAGCAGTAGTGCTTTTAAGGATTAGTACATGAAAGGTACATAGAGCTGAAATTCTTAGAGTCCAGGAGTAATCARTTCTTTGTGTAATTTGACATATGTGGCCTCCTGGGCAGTGTAGTGTTATAGAGAACTGCCAACATAGAGAAAACATTGAAAGGAATTTGCCTTGTGATTCAAAAAACATAGAAAAGAACATTAGTACTAGAGCATAAATGAAGTCCTTTTTTTGTGATGCAAGCTGATTATTTTGAAAAATTARAATGTGCTTTTGGCAAAGTGCATCAGTAAGGTGAATTTTGAAATGCAATTTACTTTTTGTACTGATACACTTGTAMAAAGGTGTGTCTGATCACTAAAGCTTTTCAGAGAATGAATGTATCAARTCTTCATGGCTCCCCTTTCTATACTTGCATTCTGGTGAAAATTAAGAGCATTTGTTTAAGTACTCTGTCAGAGCCTGGATTTCAGATTTGAAATTCTACAAAATCAGTTGTTATGTGGATTTTAAATGTTTGCTTTTCTATGAYTCTTTCACCTTAGTCTCCCTCACAAAGAATTTTAATTTATAATGCTGGTTTTCACCAGTTTTCACCGGCATCTTTTTCTGTTGTTTCTGCTGACTTTACTGCTGCAAGCTATGAGTACTCAATGCCCTGAAARTAGCAGTTGAAATCTATTTGTATTTAATTGGTGAATTTACATAGACACAGCAGACAGTAGTCAGTTCAACACATTGCTTATCTCATTATGGCAAGCAAATTTTAATTRTAGTGGTGGTTGTAGTTCATTATTGAAGTTGTGGTATTCCTAGAATATTTTATTGCCTAATTAAACACCCAGTGCATAACAGCTATTGCTTGTTAAACAAGACAATATGCCCTATATTAAAAACAAAAGAGGAGCAATGTGACTCCAAAAAGCAGTTATTTGTCTTTTCCTGTATGTGTTCCACTTATGTGGCAAATTTTTTTCTTTATTAAAGATATTTCTGCTTATGACAGAGTGGAGGCTTTTCTTGTGATTAAAACAGAACAGAAAAAGTGCAGAGATGTAATGGCTTGATTACTTTCCTTATTACTGTATTTATACCAAAGTAAAATTAAGCTATGAAGAAAATTAGAGATTAGTAGCCATTTAGCTTTTTTCTTCTGTGAAATGTTGAGATGTCTGTAGAATTTTAGTTCTTTCTACTTCCCTTTGCTATCCTTTGTCTTCAGTGTGTTTGAAAGAAGCAGCTGTCTTATGTGGGCTTTCAGGAGCTGTTGTGTTGCYAATAGAGTGTTTGTATAGATTATATTGCTTTCTACAGTTTACAGAGGAAAAAAGGTGCAGTATTTCTGCATAATTGTAGGTATTCCTCTATAATTGTTAATGGTTTTGACCAAAAAAAAGGGTTTACAAATTTTGGAGATAGTATTAAAGAATATCTTTCTCCAGATGTGTCATAAAAAATACACTGTTTTAGTAGCCACAGCTTTTGKGTGGTTTGTCAGTTGAAAGAATTACTTAAATACTTGTTTTAAAGTGTAACTTTTTGTGCAGTTTTRGAAGGAGTTTTTCACTGCAGAAGTGAAGTGATTGTCAGCTTTGTGATTTACCCTTTCTGCCAATCAAGAATAATCAAGATTATTMATTTTTGTTTCAGAACCCGTCTTGAAGAACTAAGAATGTTTTTGGAGAAYGAGACCTGGGAACTTTGTCCTGTTAAATCAAGCTTTAATATTTTGCAGCTTCATGTACGTTCCATGAATAAAATATACAAATGTGTTAATTCTTTATTAAGTCAGAATTCAGGTGTTCTAGGAAGTAGTAAGACCCATGAACTACTGTACAAATGTTTTGAATGGCTTCTGAAAGCTCTACAATTTTACTTCATCACATTAGAAACTTAAGAGTCAAATGGTTTTAAAACAGTAACATTTCTATTTCAGGCGGGCAGAGGTTTTTATGGAAGATGCTAAGAGTTGTAAGCATAATGTTAGCCTTTATTTTTCATGTTTCAATGTACTGTTAATGTGTCTGTTTTTCATTTCTAAATTATTTATCTGACAGTAAGRTGCTAAAAGATGAGTGCCTAAAAGTAGTTGCATGAGCACTCACYAGCTTGTACCAATTTGGCCTCTGTTTCTGGAAACATAGGTCATACTAGCTCATTTGGAAAGGAAAAAAAGTGTTCTTCTGTAATTAGTGAAAGCAAGTAATTAGTGTACTCGCCTTCTAACCACCTGAAGTGATTTTTTTTTTATTTTTAGTATGTGGTGAATGAAATTTAACTTGTTTTGCCAAATGAAACATGGTGCCTGTGATTAAAGCCAAAACTAAAGTGCAAAAGTGTTTTAGTGGAGTAACGTACAGCAAAATGATTTTGCAACTTCTGTGGAGTTAACAGTAGAAGTAAGCAATGGGCTACTGTCTACTAAAAGTACAGAGGAAAGGGAAAGGARGACCCTCATTAGCATTCAGTAACAAAAGAAAGAATACTTTTAATAAATAAATAGGATTATAAATCCATACATGCTACCTAAGGGACTGGAGCAGCAGAAAGTCACTGGTCTGTTTAAGAAAACAGAAATATAACATTGTAGTCCTTTTAACTGCATGTGTTTTGATCTTTAAACCTTTAGTTAAATGAAAATGTGCATTTTGCCATTGATGAATTTTGATAGCTAGAAATGTTATGTCAACTGAGATAAGTTGTGTCTTTTAGGAAAAAAGGAGTAAAAAATCATTCCTTGTGGGTCCTACTTGGTCCGTATGCGTTCAAAAATTTGTGCATTCACCCAGTGATCAGAAATTATGCAATGGGTTTGAGAAGTAAAAAATTTTGACAGCTTTTTAAAAATAAAGTGTCAACAAGAAAAGATCAGCTTTAGTAAATTACAGGTAATTTGTGTAAAGAAAGCCAGTTTTTTGGGTAGAATTTAACTACTTTTTGTCTCCTTATTTCTGTGAAATAAAAAAACCCAATTAGTTTTCACCTAGTTTTAGACAGTGTATACTTTCAGAATACAAATCAATTGTCTGCCATAGCAAAAAACTTAAAATGGCAAAGTTAAAATGGCAAAGACAAGCAGTATAAGGTTGCCACATTCATGGTTAACTTGACTCAGTGTGAAAAGCATATTTAAATAAGCAGCAAACTTTGGCTAAGGTTAATTGCCCACAGGTTTGTTGTTATCCTTTGTTATTATGGAGTGATCATAAAATTGAAAATGCGTCATTAAAATTGCAATTTATTTCTATTGGTAGGAATTTAAGTTCATGGAGCAGTCGCGTTCTCCGTCTGTGTCACCGAGTAAGCAGCCTGCCTCAGCAATTTCAGCAACAGTAACGTTGTTTGAGCAGTACTGTAATGGAGGAAAYCCCTTTGAAATCCAGGCTGACAGCAAAGATGATGAGACAGAAGATGTCTTAGCTTCCAATGGGGTATGAAGTGTTTCACGAAAAAAAGAGAAAAAAAAAAAGGGCAAATGGTGCTTTCAGTAAATGATGATTTATTTTGTGTACAGTGATGGCAGAATGTCTTATTATAAGAATCTGTTGTCTGCGTATTGTGCTGCTTTGCTTTTAAAAGTGCCAGACAGCCAGGCATCCTGTTAAATGTTCAGTTTGTTTTGCATTGGATCAGTAATTTTTTCCACTAAAGTCAAGCATTTCTTAAGGTCAGCAAGACATGTTTCACCTAAATGAGTGTTTTTCCAGGGGTTGAAGGTAGCTTTCTTTGTGGAGGTAATTTTCTCATTTTAGGGCTTGCTTTCTGGCTTCATAGGAAAGAATAGTTGTGGGTTGCTCCTTTTGTTTTACTTGTTSTCATCTATCTGATTTGCCATGGATTTTCTGATGTTTATTACATCATTTTAAATTGTAATTTAAATGCTTAGGGCACCCTCTTTGTGGTGTTTTTATTCTATAAAACTGAACAATAAGTCTGAGTTTTTCAGAAGTCTGTCAAAATCTAGCAGTCTCTTAATATCTTAAAATCTCTTAAATGCTACGTTAGCATGTTTTTGTTAAAGCTTTTGTTCTTGTTTATCCTTTTGATGAATAATGTTTCCTCGGGCTTAACTTGTGCTGCTGAGACTGGATAACATCTCAAGAACAAAAAAGAATACTTGCTGCTTAGTGATTTTAAACTCCTCTGATACCTTGCAGGTTGCTGCTTGTGAATGAGAACCTACACCGTTCCCAGGTTTTTTGTTTAGTGACTTGTAAGCAACATACCTTACACTTGTAAAAGGCTAGAATTGTCTTMATTTCTTAACTAGAGTTATCGAGGTATTTTTATTTCTATCTGCACAGTTTTATGAGATATGAAAACCTTACAAACAAGTTATCACAGACCTTCTTCAGTATTTCCAGTTTCAACATTTTCAACAGATTCCCTTCATAATCTGTTTCTTCTGGCTTGAAAAAAAAAGATGTTGTCTTACTCTGCACTAAGCTTTTGCTTTTACAACTGTGAAATGRTTTGATGAAAAAACTAGGTAGCAAATGCTGATGAACATGTTGGACACACTGTTTTGATGGCTTTGGCAACATGAAGTGTCACACTGCTGCCAAGCAGACTTTGATCAGTAAGACAGAATGACAGAATCAGTGAATTGTTAGTGTTGGAAGGGACCTCTGGAGATCATCTAGTCCAAACTCCTTGTTATGGCAAGGTCACCTGCAGCAGGTTACACAGGAACATGCTTGGGTGGGTTTTGAATGTCCCCAGAGAGGGAGACTCYACAACTTCRCTGAGCAGCCTGTTCRGCTTCTCTGCCCCTTCCTTATGTTGGTATGAAACTTACTGTGTTTTARTTTATGGCTCCTTGTCCTGTCTCTGGACACTACTGAAAAGAGCCTGGCACCATCCTCTTGGCACCTGCCTTTGAGATATTTATATGCATTGATGAGGTCCCCTCTCAGATTCTCTGGACTAAACAGGCCCAGTCTCTCCTCATAAGAGAGAACCCTAATCTTGTTTGTGGCCCTCCACTGGACTCTCTCCAGTAGCTCCTTGTACTACCCTCTTCKGACTTCACTTGTATATTATCTTTTCCCTCTTTCCTCTGAATATGAACTTTTTTGAGAAGTAATAGAGTTTGAAGTCTCTTACAGCATCTCACTTCTGGTACCATATKGTGCAGGCTCTGCCAACTTGTGAGAGGTAGGGTCCTGCAGATCTTACTGGCACTCTTTTGGAACCTGCATGAGCTACAAAWCATAAATGTAAAACAGACATTACAAGAAATTTGTCACTCTGAATGGAGGCACAGGACAGTTTAATTAACCTGTCACTAGTTGTACTATCCCTTTTGACATTTTTAATCTTCTGTCCTAGAGGCAGGGTARCTGAAGTTCTTGTTAATAGATCCCTTGGGATGGAGTAGAGTGAAATGACACTGAATGATTAGTGTTTATACATATGTATAAATGACATTTATTTTAGAACAGTTTGGTTCCAGTGGAAATGAGGTATGTAGCTGTTTTATCTAATGYATTTTCTATAGTAATATAACAGTATAAAAGTATCAAAATACAACTTAAACAAATATATAATGAAAAGAAAGAAGGAAAGGATATGAGTAGATAGTGRAGAGGAAAGGTATCAYCACTTGTRGATCCAARCAATRTTTGATTTTTGCAGTTTTGTTTTTYGTTGGTCAAAGTGATGTTCGCTGTCTTGATCTGTTAGGGCTGAGGGAAACSCACCAAATGGAGTTCACTGGGGTAATAGACATTCACATGGGGAATGGCAGCACCTAGGTACCTCCCCTGGGGGCTCTTTTACACTGTCTGGTGCAACACTATAGACTGCAACATGTGCAGTCCTCTGCTGGAAGGCCCCCGAAATGTGTCTGGGGGCATTTTGGGGGTCTGTGATGGTTTGTGGCCCCTTCTAAATGACATGGCTGCTGTTTGATCCTGCTTAGTTGAGCCAGTTATTCCTCATCAGAAGGGGTGAATACCTTAAGACTTATGTGACACCTCCTCTTGGGAAGGAAAGCAGCCTGATAAAWTTCATTATCCCATCTTGCAGKATCTGCTTCTTATTGGCCTTTTCCCTTATCTGGCTCAGCTTGTTGYTGAACAAAGGCTTGTTTGTCATGGTCATCCTCTGGTGSTGGGTGTGCACCCCCTCTGTCTYATGTAGATCAGAGGTTTCACCACCACATTGGGAGTGCAAACCTGGCCTCAGCCAAGGACCTGCTGCTCTTGCAAGTGGCTGATTGTTMAAGCCATTAACCTTTAATGTTTCAGTCTCTCACAACTGTTCCAAAGTGCTGACACAGAAAGAACTCCTTTTGAAAATGTAGAAGTTACATCTATTTTGTTATCCTTTTCATAGAAAGATAAATAATCTGCTCAGGCAATGCAGGATAAAATTTTTACGGAGGTTTTATGTTTTGGTTTCTTGCCTGACCTTTAATGTGCAGGCACATTTTAGCACTGAAAATTGAAATTATTTCAGACAGAGTCTGTAACATTTTGTTTCCAGAGAATGCAGGCATTTTTCCAAATATTTAAAGAAATAATATTCCAAATATTTAAAGAAAGCGTGTAAAGGACATAAACAGTTGATTTACTTGTCAAGTTATCTGTAGGATGGGATGAACTGTCAGGATTTCTTTTGACAATTTTAAAGTCTTTGCTTAGTTATTGCAAAGTAGGCCCCTAGACCCAGTCACCTCAGCTCTGTGCCTTGAACTTCAGTGCAATGCTTTATGTCCCTTTTATGTGGCTTCTTAAAATGTCTTTGTTGCTATACAGTTAACTTCCAGTATYGTAACACTCTTCAACTTTGATGAATCTTAGCACTGCCTTTGGGTTTGTTTGGATTGATTGCCCAAACACTTGGGAAGTGATTATTGCCTCAAGATAKCTGAATTCATTTTAGCACTTCAAAATTTTACTGCAGACTGTGCATGTTCAAAATAGAGTTATAAGGTCTCTTCAAGTTGAGGTMACTATTTAATAGTTGTAAGTTAATGCATACTTTAAAATACAGATGCATTTATCTCATTAAATGGCTTTTCCAGCTCATTAATAGCATTAGATGTAGGAGACTTAATAAAGTATTTTCCATGTTAAAAAAATAATTCCTCAAAATCCCTCTTATTCTATGATGTTAAGACAGTTAACTACTGTCAACTGTCAGATTCTTATGTCAATATGAATTGTAGTTAATAGTTTGTAGTCAATTTATCATTTTACTGTCACTGGATTTTAATTGAATCTGCATGTCATTTATCATATAATAATGCATAATAAGTGGTGGTAATTCTCCATGCTAATGTTCCAAGTTAGTTAAACTGGTTCTTTTCGTCAAGTCAAGGCTGAACTCAGCTCGTTTTTGAAATACACTGAGCTGCTTTCACTACAACTTTCCTTTGCCCAAAATATTCATGAGGCAGAATTTTTGACCATGAATATTAATAGTCTGAACATTTCTTTTTAGAATGTATCTCATAATACATTATTTTTTTCCACTTGGGCTGTTCTTGTTTTGAATTTGTTTGTAGTGTGGGATTCTTGCTTTTAGAGCACAGTGCTTTCATAGTGCTAGCCTTTAAAAGTCTMAGCAACTTGGGGCATGCATTACTGAAAAAATATATTTCMTAGTGTGTWTCGGATGYCATTTYTKAAGGATCCTGGAAGCAGAGTGTGTGTCACCTGTCACTGTTGACTGTGTGTATAAAGTTGCTTCAAAACGATGTATGCATTAAGGAAAAGTSTCTCTCTTCAAGTGATCTCTTGAAGTGCAGGTGCTTTCTGGAGCTGTGCAAACAACTGAAAATTTATGTTTTGGTTTTGGTTTCTTTTTTTTAATTAAATGTGCTCAATATTAACAAGTATTTTTGTGAAGCAATAGTTTAGCCCTTCTTGCAATAATAATTATGTGGAAGTTGTTTTTTTTTTTGTTTTATTGCCATTGTATTGATGAATTTTGAGGATTTATTACTGTTTTTGTCAGATTATAAAGCAAATAATAAAAGCTCAAATAGATGGGTACTTGGTACAGCAACTAAAAAGCAAAAAAATGTTAGCGGAGGCTGGGAGAACTAGAATGATGTAAATATTTGCTCAATCAACATAATATAATTTTCCTGCTGCATTTTTAAAGAACATTGTCAGAAGCCATTCAACTTTTCAGCAAAGTTATTTGTATCCTGATCAAGGTAAAAGCCAAGAAGTGCCCAAGGTGCAATGTTAAATGAGTTGCAGTGTTATAAGAAAAATAATAGTAGTCAATCTATTCTTTCCCTTTTTTTTTAACAGTATGAATCAGATGAACAAGAAAAAAGTGCATATCAAGAATATGATAGTGACAGTGATGTTCCCGAAGAGTTGAAAAGAGATTATGTGGATGAGCAGACAGGAGATGCCCCGATAAAAAGGTAATAGGCTGAGTGCATCCTTGGTTTAATTTACATGCTTTTCATCTCATTATTCTAATTAGTTCAGTTTCTGTAATTCAKAACAGGGGAATAATAATCAAATAATCATTATGCTGCCTGCAAAGTTGGAAGGGCTCAGCTCTTAGATCTCCAGAATGGGGAGGAACATTAAGCTGCTSATCATTATTGCAGACAAAAGCTGCAGAAAGGAACATTTTGAAAGAGGATAAAGGCTCTCTGAAGCAGGTAGTGGAAAACTGATTAACAAGGACTGGATGTTAAGTGAAGGTTCTTCTATAGCAGCTGTTGTATATATRTATAATTTCTGTTGTGTCAAAAGCAGCTGTTTGCAGACAAAAGCTTGAGTTTTGGGTTTCTGCTTCTGCAGAACAGTAAACTTTGCTACAGAGGGGGAAAAAAAGTAAGGTTCTTCCATAGCTTGAAGACAGTAATTTTGAATTTTAAATTCTCTTTTCTTTAAGAATATATACACACATGGATATATAAATGAATATACATATTCTAATTTGATGAATATATAAAAATACTTTATATATATTCATATAAGTAAAGCTAACTGTGTATATTTTAATAGGATCTGAAATACAAGTTTCTGTCTAAGACACTATACAACTTAGATGTCTATTCAGTCTTTGTGAAGCAGGATAACTTTATGTAGGGTTTGCAGGAGAACTGGAATGCYATCACTTGGGTCAAAGCAGACTACTGTTTTTTTACAAGGTGACTCTTTACAAAAAMTGTTGTTAGCATGATTCTCTAAGGTACATCATGTAAACTACCTTCTTTCAAAGAAGTGGTGGAGATACAGTTAAAAATTCCTTCATTGGAGCAAACAAGAGTTGCTGCCCATAGATTTGTGTTGTGAAATTGATACTTTTGGAAGAACATAACTTATGAGGTATGACAGCTGGCAGAAGGTTTCTCTTATAGAAAAACAAAATGTCTCTAGTTAGATAAGTATCATTGAGTCCAACTTTCTGACTCTTTTGGGACTAAAATTTATGAAAATTTAAATGACTTTTTTAGTTTCATTTTCCTCAAAATTGCTTCTATTTCTCGATAGTAACTTTCAGCTGTAACTGACTAATTTGCCTCTGTTTTGTTGTGATTTGTGTTGTTTTTATTTTCTTCCTGAATTATGAATTTGTGTCAGARTGATTAGAGCAACTGTTGGGGCGGGACAGAGGCCTGCAAAACTCCAGCATAAGACCAAAAGTAAAAAATTCCTTTCTTGAAGTRAATTAGTTCAGGCTTCTCTCTGAAGTGTTAGAATCCTAACTCAGTTGTGCTTTGGCATTAATAAAAGACTGCACTGGAAGACATACTGTCATGTGAAAAAAGGGGGAGGAATAATATATTTACCACTAAATTTTGTTTGTATGTCTTTGAATATTTTCACATTTAATATATTTTGTTTTGTTTTCTTTCAAGTGTTTCTCGAGAAACTCTGAGGAGCAGAAAGAGATCAGATTATAATCTCAATAAAGTGAATGCACCTATTCTAACAAACACTACATTGAATGTAATAAGGCTTGTTGGTATGTAGAATAATTGTAGTTTTTTATGTGTTTTTGATTTTTGTGCAAACTTAATGATTATAGCAAATATGTGAAATTATATTTAAGGCCTTGAAAAATATATGTAGTTGKGCTCTATTTCTACTCTTTGAAAATGTTAATAGTAGTTCTGGTTTTCCAGTTTTAACCCAAAATAGGAACTTTAGTGCAAGYAGGTAACAGTGTGTAGACATTAAATGTTGGTGTCCTGTTAGAGAGAGYAAAGAGGAGGAAATGTTCTTGGAACACTTGTTGTGTCAAGAATGCTGAATGAGGTAGTAATAGAGAAATGTTCTTGGCATTGGAAAAATTTTATAGGGACAATACTTGGGCAGTGCACAGTGCGTAGCCCTTCGGAAAAGCATGAGAAACTGCCCAAGAGATTTCAATATTCAATACCTTCAATATTCATGCCAGCTACCCAGATATTTGGAAGTCTTAACTGCCCAAAATGTGAGTCATCACTCTTTTGTGGTGTTTGGGTTGCAGGCAAATTTGTAAATGTGTTTATCACAGAGTAAGTGGAAAAAGTCAGCCTGTGGCAATGCAGAATATTGAGATAGCACAGATGAAGGTGACACTTGCTTTGATTAGGTTACCGTACCATCCTTTCACAAACATTGAGAAATTTCCACATTGGACTGTGCATTTGGTTTTCCCTTTTAGAAGACAAATATAATTTTTAAAGTCTGCTTTTCAGTTTRTTTATAATGCTATGGGTCAAAACTTTAATAGTTAAGTATAGAGTTAACAAATTAACTGTTAATTATTACAACCTGCATCAAATCTCCAAAAATTACAAAACGTATTTTTGCACGTCTTAGCAAACAGTGGCATAGTTCACATAGTATTCAATAGGGAGTCTAAATYAGAAACCTAGAAGGTAGCAATGTCAGGCTATTTCTTGGTTGTTACTTTAGTGCTCTACTATTTGATCAGGTATGTACAATAAATTGTATTTTTTATTTTTCAACTTAGTTATCGTTGCTGACCTACACAATTACTTGCTTGAAAAATYAAAATAACTCCCCATTACTAAAAGCTAGCTTTTGTTTCTTTGTTACCCAGTTCATCTGATTAAACCAGTATTTTCTTAATCTATTAGTAAATTACTTTTCTGGGCACAGTATAAACTTGAAAAACAGTGTTGCTGACTACAGGAAAAAGAAATTGTTTTAGCACTTTTCTGTAATATTTCCAGCCTGTTACATCAAAACATGTCAGGAATATGACAATTTGTTAAATGACCTGCTGTATCCTATGTGGTGGGTAGACTGCATTTGTGTTTTGGTTCAAATATTGCTGTCTGTCTCTTACTGTAATAACCAAAAGCTTGTTATATGTTCTTTATGTTTTTTAAACATTAAAATGGGAAGCAGGATGTAACTTTTGAGGTAGCCATYGGGAAATGTGGGGTCTCTGCAATATCAGGGTTTTCATTAAATATGCTTCTTTTATGACCAGTGAAGAGCCATTTCCTATGCTGAAAACCAAAAATAACTGAAAACTATAGGCCCTGAGAACTAGGTCTGTAGGGAAAAATCCCTTTCTGAGTCCAGATCCTATGATAAGTTTGATTCAGATAACATATAGAGGAAAGTCCTGAGGTTGGGGTTTTTGTTATTTAAAAAAAAATTATTTTCCAAAGCCAAATGTGTTAAAACAGAGAACAGGAAGGAATAGAGAGAATTAGTCTTCTCCCTGGATGTGCCAGGGTCCTAACATCCTCCTTTACTGCTAGTCTGTCTCCCTGGAAGCATTTCAGACTTAAATCTTAAAACTACTTGGGATTCTTACTGYAGGATAAAAAGGAAGGAGAGCAGAAAATACTATATCACCAACGTGAAAGTCATAATTCCCGGAGTTGTTAGGTAAAAATCCAGTCTTGGACATAYAATTTTATACTGTGCTTTTCTATTGCTTGAAAATATCCATATCTGCATATATAAACACACTAATGCATAAATCTTCAGTGGCTCTATGAAGCATTTGCCAGAGACTACTTTAGTGGATTATTATTTTTTAGCTAAATGAAGCTGAAGCTTGTAGAGGATTCAGAAAGTTGTATGTTTTGAATTTGGTACCAGAAGGCCAAGAACGGTTGAAGAAGTTTTGTTACGGATTAACATCCACCTTTGGGAAGTCTTGAGRCAATTGTGGTGTCTAAGCCATCATTTTAGCTTTGTTTTTAAACTTCCAATCTGTAAACCRTTATTAAGTTGTTAATCAACACTRAAGGCTAAAWAATACATTTTGTAAAGCTGGTTTTRAGTTTGTCAAAGCTGACACTGTCTTTGTAGCACTTGTGCTGAGGAAACTGATCTTCTCTATTGAATTTTTAAGGGAAATACATGCAGATGATGAATATTCTGAAACCAATTGCATTTGATGTGATCCACTTCATGTCCCAGCTCTTTGATTACTATCTGTATGCAGTCTATACATTTTTTGGCCGAAATGACACGGTAGGTAGAACACATTTTTCATTTTCAARTATCATTGTACACTCAGAATGAAAATACAGAGGAGGTCTCTTCGCTTAAAATACTACATAATATGTAATCTCCAGAAAAATTAGTGGCAACAGAATRGATTTGAATGTAGGAATAAGAAAAGGCTGATTAGATCAGCAATAAGGGAAGGAAGTACTGGGAGCATTATTGTCACTGAGACATTATTCATATTAAGTTTTGAATAGATACATTCTCTATTCTTTTTCCCAGCACTGTTGAGAAGGAGGAAAGACAATGTGAAATACCTAGAAGCAGTGGCAGAAAGTGGGTAGCAAAGGAGGAGTCTGCAGAAGGAGGGTGGTTTGAGGCTAGACAGTATGAGGGGATTGAATTWTTCTGTATGTATTTCTCTAGCTTACATAAAAATAGCAAAATAGGAAAGGGGGTCATGAAAGTGACGTAGTAACTTAAGTTTAAGAGATTTGAAAGACACTTTTTCAGATCTAGTATTCTCCTGTCAAGCTACTTGCATTAAYGAAAACAGTGGGGTTTTTTGAGTGATCTTGTAGTTGAAATAAATGCTTGTTGGCAATGTCTTTACATAACATAGATCAGCTTTCAACAGAATTGTCTTAAAAGCTGCATGTAAAAACAGTTGACACCTTTCTTGGTCCCTTTGTCACTCCACAAGTAACAATATTGAGGGGTTTCAAATCCGTCATCATGTGTTGGCAAATTATAAGATTTTCAGACTYGACATATGGTTCTAAATGCTTTTGAACTGTTGTATTTGGCAGGACAAATGTATTTGCAATTTGTKTTTACAAGATGGGTGGGGGTTCTTTKGGTTTTGTTTTTTGTTTGTTAGTTTGTGGTTTGGTTGGGGTTTTTTGGTGTTCCGGGTTTTTTTTGTTAAGATAATTGATTTCCATTGGCTTAGTTGSTCTGGCATTCACATTGTGTTGCATTTATTGTGTTTTTTTTTGCACCTCCTGTTTTGTGTTTCTAAAGCCCATACCGACTTCCACACTCTGTGCTTCTAACAGAGAACTGAACAGTGCTAGGCAGGTAAATGTTATGGCAGATGGGTGGTAAAATTGTAATGTTTTTGTAGTGTGCCTAGTATTTGTTTTGACAGATTGTTTTCCATGGGAAACACAGTTCTTACAAGSGTTTATGATTGTAATAAACCCTGTTGTAATGCTGCATAAATGTCCTCACTCCGCACAGTGTTTCTAAACCTTTAGAAAGTAGAGATGGGTGATGGTATGTGATTTAGACCACTCAGAGTGTTCCTATTTTATTTTTATTTAGAAAATAATGCCAAATGGGATTCTCAGAGTATGCTGGTATAACTTCCTTAAATGTTTAAAATTAGTTGTGAATATTGTAGTTATGTTGTATATGTGGGTTAGCACACACATGAAGAGAGTGATTGATTATACAGAGTTCATTGCCAGTTCAGTGAAAACYGGGGATTTAAAATATGTGTTGAGTTCTGTGTCCATTCATGATGCTGTCATTGCTCTTTCCAGATCTCTTTAGAATAATTATCTTATGTAGTCAGTATTCAGCTTTCTTCACTGCCAAAAATGAAACATGGTTGTAATCAGAATTGCTCTTTCAAAACTTCTTTTATTTGTGGAATGCAAGTTAAAYCTGCCTTATCTCAAATTATGGAGCAACACAAAATAAAATTAAAAGGAATTGCCTGTATTTAACTTCTGCTCACTAAAGTGTAAGACATTAATCAATATGCCACAAAATAGCCTTCCTTAGCAGGAAAAAACTGAGGTGAGTTCCTTTTTATTTGACAGGACATTACASTGATTTGTAAACTTACTTTTTTTTCTAATAACTAGAGGGGTTATCTAAAATTGCTGATTAATAGAATTATTTAATGCTCTGTTTACTGGCCTTACTAGATAATCTGTGGCATTTAGAAATCTATAGTTTTTGATATAGAAATATGAAGAACTTGTATTAAGTGAATTGGGTGTCGTGATGAGTGACATGTTCATCGTGAAGCCWTGAGGTTCTGTCCCTGTGGAAAAATTCTGAGCAACAATTATCTTGGGGTTTTATTTGTTTGCTTCTTGTTTGTCTTCCTCCCTCATACATATGGATACACAATTCTGACTTCAGAGTGTAACTGATTGCCTGGTAAATCTGGAGTACTGTAAACATGCAGTGTTTCATGGAAATTTATGTTTGTTTTTACTTTTGTTTCCATTCAGATATGTTTCCAATATGAAATTACCATTTTTAGAAAGAAATAGATCATTTTAGAATAAGTAAGTAGAAGCTACTGATAGCTATTGAAAGTTAGCAATTGAAAGGCAGAAAGAGAAAGAATTAATGGTAGATTTGGTTGTGCAAATTCCTTAAAATTTAATGGCTGAAACTTGCAAATAAATTTTTAGTATATGTGGGGTTTTTTTCCCTCTAAACGGGGCTTTTTTTCTGTTTGTTCTCACATTTACAGAGGGAATAGTCAGTCTTCAATTTGTAGGCTTAGGTCCATGTCWTGAAAAAGTACTATATGATGTTAAGAAGGAAAAAAAGGTAATACAGAGAATGGACTGCATTTCTTAAAGGAAAAAATGTAACATTCTTTTTTACCCATACACCTGCAAAATCAACGGCCGTTTAAAACTGATTCTCCTACAGTAAATATTTGAAGAAAAATGAAAATTATTTTTGTAAAATTGGTTATTTCACTTGCAATATATAAAGGTATGAACTTTCTGTTTACCAGTTTTATCAAATGTGGCCCTGTCTCCTAGATCAGGTTTTAGATTTCATCAGAGTGTATTTCCAGTGGGAATTCAACTCAGATGTAGATTGTCATTTAGTATATAGTATATAGGATTGGGGCAGATGGACATCTTAAGTCAGAATCTTTAGATCCAGTAAATGGGGACTAAATTATACCTGTATTCAAAAGGAGACCAGGAGGTTGTATGAACTCAATTACTTCCTTGCCTGATTCAACCCAGTGAAAGGAAGTCTAATTCTGCAGTGTACAACAGCGCTCAAAATACTGTTTAGCAAATTGCCTTTTGGTGTGAATCACATACCAGAACTGTATTCAAATCCTTCCAGGTTGTTGATTTAAATGTGCATTTTTGACATGTCCCGTTTTCCACTTTCTTTGTTGTGTTAGTTGGGTTTTTTATTAAAAGTAGTTGATAAGTAGTTACAATAATTATGCATGTCAAACCAGACCCTCAGCTGGTATAATCCATTGCACTTAGTGGGAAATTAGTGCAGCTGTATATATATGTCTGCATATATATATATACATACATATGTAAAGAAAATAAATATATATATATATATGTAGTGTAGGTATATATATAAAACTATATATCCCAGCTGAGCATCTGCCCCATACACTTCTGAGCCACGAACATGAAGATGGCACCTACATTTCTGAGGTAGATCTTTATAAGCATTAAGTAATAATGACTGTTTTATAAAGATCCATGGTTATAATTTTTACATAAGGAAGATMCATATTTGATAATTACAAGAGATTTTATAGCTAGAAAGGGGAGTGAAAATCATTTCACTTGGGTGTGTTGTGAATGCAAAGCACGGAGGGGATATTGTGGTGCATCCTTTTGGGCTCTTCACCCAAATGAGAAAATCTAGAGTCCTGCAGCCAAATACAGAATTTTAACAATAAAAGATACTGGTTGATTTATTGGTATGCATGATRCACTGTCATCTTCATGTAAGATACTTAGGTCGTTCTTCACACCAATGTAGTGTTGAGTGCTGTGACCTCTGTCGATTTTCTTTTCATTTTGTATGGTTGTGATTCTGTGCTAAAATTTTAATGTAAGTTGTAGGTAGTTTTTACAAACTAAAGTTTTGCTGTATAACTTAAAACCAGTGATGTTTCCTTTCCCAACTTAAGTAGAATTTATTTCCTCYAGTTTGAATCAACAGGACTGGGGCTCAGTAGCAGCAGATTACGCACCACACTGAACAGAATCCAGGAGAGTCTAATTGATCTGGTAAGTACCTGGRTTTTGTTAAATGTTCAGTGGGATAGAGGTCTGTGTATGCAGTTCAAGAATTAKATCTCATTGTGGCTTTTTGATTTTTTTTTCTCTTTTCACATTCAGTGTCTGTAATAACAAAGGCTTAGTTTCATGAGGTCATTATTGTATGAAATTGCTTATTTCTGACGTACAGGAAAACGAACTAAATAGATTTTGCCAGAATGTAACAATGAACATTGTAACAATGAAATTATGTATTTAAATTCTCTGTTATGGTTCGTGTAATAAAGAGAGACATTCAGTATTATCTGTACTAGAGGCATTTTATAAAAATAAATAAATGATGCATTTTTCTTCACTTAAAGAATAGCAAAACAGTAAGCTATTCTGAGGATTATTTGTCTTTCAGGATACCATAGGTAGTATACTAAGTCCTTCCTTAATGCTGGGGAACTATCCCTGATGTCTTTTCATGATTTATTTTCAAAATGTGAAAAATAATTATGGTGCTCTTGTCACACTGGTAGTAAGTGGCGACTGTTGGTAGATTTTATGGATTCAACTGAACAGCAGAATTATAAAGAAATATTGCTAAAAACTACACCAGAAATGGAAATTTGGAGTTCTCRTTTTCCACCTAAATATAAAACCCTTGAAAGATCATGAAGAAATTTCCTAAGGGTATCATAAATGGCTTGTATAGTAATTAATACCATGGATGCTATAGGAAGGTTTAATTTTCTGAGGCTTCTGTCTTAGAAGAAAAAGATTTTCTGCTCTGACTTTCACGAGGATTTGACACTCCACAGAAATGTTCTTTATGTGTTTTTAGTTCCTTGAAGCATTTTATTGAATCCTAAACTGTTCTTCCAGAGAAGCATCTTAAAGGGTTTTGGGGCTATTTCTTACACAGTCGGTAGAGGGAGCATAAGATAGCTAATAACACTAGGCTTCTGTAAAACAGTGAAAGGCTAGTCTTCTTGATTTTCTTCTCAAARGCAGTGTATTCAGAAAGAAAAATTAATTCTAGGAAGAATCAGTTAAAGATTATGGGAAAATGGCAAGTTATGGAATTAATTTTTTGAATTTATTTTGTAGTGATGGTCCTGACARTGCTTTACAGACTTCAGTTTTTTTAGCAGTTAAAATAATTGAGAAACCAAAAAACATTTCTAGTAAAATGGATAAATAACAGCAGTTTGTTTTCTTCCTCAATCATTAACAATACTGTAACAGATAATGTTATTGCCAATTGAAATTAATAGCTACSTTCAAGGTAAGATTTGAAAGAAGAAAGAAATCTTAGCCAACTGCTATTAACTTAAAGATGKTCCATGAGATTTATTAGTATCTTATGAACTTATGCTGATCTTATACTATGAATGCAAAATTTTCACTTTTTGATTTGTGAGGAAGCAAAAGTCTTTTGACTATTCTTGTTTATTATTTGCTTTTTTTTTAAGTTTATGAAAGTCAAAGTTCATTTTTATTGTGACAAAAAAGGGTATGTAGGGAGTGTATGGATGGTTCTGAACTGCTCAAGGGATTCTCCCATCTTATTTTAGATTTTTGTKAATTGCTTTCTGAAAATATTCATGTTTGCGTTGTGGTGTTCAGTCCCATGGCTTGTTGGGAATTTAAAGTTTTTGCCTYGTTTTCTATCCATGGTAACTTTATTAAGGGCTTCATTTCTGTCACTTTTCAGTTTCTGATGGCAGCACCAATATATTATGTTCATAAAGGTAGTCTGAATCTGACAGTTCTGAGTCTGTGACCAAAGCTCAGCTGGACTTGCATGTAGATCAGAGTAATGTCACCAAACTGTCAGTGTCTGTGAAGGTTGATCTACGTGATCTATATCAAGACACTTCAGTTAATTTAGACTGGATCATTCCTAGCTTTCATCTCGGACTTTGTCCATTCCTTATTTTTAGATATCATTGTATGAAGGCCTCTTTTACTCAGTATTTATTGTCRTGAGTTAGAGGGATAATTGGAGGATTTAGTGACCACCCCCTCTAGCTTTRTTTAGAATTCTGATAGTTTCTGTTTKGGATTGARTTAGTRCTATCTGGTTTATGTTAGATACCTTTTTTTAAAGATACTACTTTGATTGTTATTCAGCWTAATTTTAAGCTTCCTTTGTGAGGGAAAAAGCAATGGGAGTTCCACTTCTGGCAAGGTAAAGCACTAAGTATTCTTTTTTTCATTTTTATAACGTRTTCAGTATGAAGAGTAGGGAGGTTGATTGGAGGCATTTCCTGTAACTCCTRATGGAGCTGCTCTATTTACCATTATTACATTGCAAGAAGTTTCTGTCCTTTATATACTGTACTTATAGAATTACTAACCATACTTTGGAAAAGAAGTATTATCCTGGTTTTTATTTGGACCACTCAATCAAATTCTGACTTGTGGCCAGTGAGCAAAAGGCTGCAGCAGTTTGAAGCAATTAGTTTAGTCTTTCCTCCACCCTGCTTGTGCATCACATTGCTTCTGCTTCTGCTGGAGGTCCTTGTCACCTCTGAGCAGTGTTCAATAGCTGAATCACTTCTCCCCTGTTTTGCAGTCTAATGCTTCATAGCAAAACCAACTGTACTTGATAAATTGCAGCAAGTCCTCCTGCATTTTAGATTAATGCTTTAGGCAGTGAATGGGAAATWGCTAAGATGTGAACATGTGTTTAGTCCTGTTAACTTCTTTGCAAGGCAGTAATGTGACACCTCAGCTGTGGTACATATTATTCAATGTTAATATGCCACTCCTACACTGATAAATGATGAACCACATTATGGTGAACAAAAACCCCTGATGCTGGAATCAAAGCACTTTGRGTATTTGTTTTGAAGTAGTTTGGGGTCCAGTTTCATTTCTGAGAGTTAAGAGAACAGTATGACTTTCAAAGAATTATTTGGCTACATTGTATTGAACTTCATATGTGTAATTGAACTTCATAGTCAGGTCTTTGCACAGCTAGCACAAAATAGCTTTCATACAGACTTCTGCTATGCAGCAGTTTCAGAGTTAATAATTTGGATTTTTCTCTATGAAAAGTACTCATTCATATAAGGAGATGATATTAAAAAGAAAGCACAGAAGGTAAAGAGTGAAAAGGAAGCACAGTAGAAGTGCTGYTCATTCAGCCTCACTCAGATGTGGTTTAGGTTAGGCTAAATACATCAAAACAAGTCCCTGTTTTGAGATGGTATATTTCCATACTGGCAAGTTCCAAGTTGGGTACCTACACACATGTGTCTTTGGGTTTGTAATTTCTAAAGGGAATGTGTTTTTACACAGTAATGATGTCCATATTAGTTCACTGGGACCTGTAAGYCCCCAGGTAGAAGGCATCAATCAGTTTGTTTTGTGATCTGTGGTAATTGATGCTTTGAAAGGAAAAAGCCTTTTTCTGATACCTTGTTTTTTTCTGTTTTTAAGCAGCTTCCTCCACAAAATGTGAATTGGTCATGATGCTGCCATTGCCTGGTTGTTGTTTGTGTATGTCCTGTGTATATGTAAATAGCTGCTCTGTGTGAAAYTGCTGTATTCAAAAGAGATTTGGGGGGTAAATAACCATGGAATATTCATAAATAATTCATTGCAAACAGGTTTGCTCAAGAAAAACCTGAAATTTAGAATGAAATTTCTTAGAATTACTGTATCTTACAGCAGTAGAAAATAAATCACTGTGATAAAGTCTCTAAGCATTGCAATTCAATGTATAGAAATGAGCCTTGGTCAATGTATTTTAGAATCTATCTTTACTTTGGCTTTTAGACTCTTTTCCCCAGAAAGTATATGTCTTTTGGCAAAGTCAGGTTTAGAGATTGATGGTGCAGAGATGGAAAATGTAGATTTTTCAGCTGTGCAAATAAGATAAGGATTGGTAGGAACAATTATTTTTCTCCATGCCTGACTTTCCATCCCACTTTGCCTTTGACCCTTTGATCCTGTGGAATGGTAAAATTCAGTTACATTAGTCTCAGTGCTGGAAACAAACAGTTTGGTTTTACTTAAAATGTCACATCACAGTCCTGCAGGTGCCCTGTTGTGTATGGTTTGGCAAAATAGTAATTGCAAGCTCTGGAGAGGCTTGGCTGTGTAATGGTTTACCTGACATGGCAGTACCTAGCACAGGAATCAGCTCCTAAAGGGTATAGCTAAGGTCCTCAATGAAATGGCAGCTGTGATTCTTGGTGAGTTTTTATTTGGCTGAAGATAACTTCTGCAACATTTCTAATCCATGCTTGGTCTCCTTTCTTGTGGTCTGTGCTCATGATATTACAGAAACTATTAATGACAGTTCTCTGATGAGCGATCCTGTTTTATGTAAACATTTGGGGTTAGTCTGCTTTTCCTYGTCCATCAGCACATATCAAGTTCTTGGTAAGTGTTGGTATGTCACAGCTGCTGTACACTGTTCCACTGCCAGAACCTTCTCAGATAGTGCAGTTTTGTCCAGGCCTTTCAAACCCCACTTACTGCTTTAAGATTGTGATTTCTTCAGTATTTAGTTATTGCAAAATCAAATCTAAAATCTTGGCTATTGTGTATTCATATGAAATAAAAAAAAAAAATCTAGAACTGAAATCTTGTGCAAAGTATTAGGCCAAAAGTACAGTTTTGAAAAATTGGTATTAGTGTGATCTGTAGAACTTTGTGTGCTAGGGACAGTTTGTGGAGTTTACTGTTTTTTGTTTAAAGTTAATGTAAGTGGATGATTGTCATTAACTGTCAGCTATTTCACCATAACTGGCAGATAATCTGTTACTTCAGTCATAARTTCTTTTGGTTAGTTGAAATAAGTGTTTCTGTTCTCGTGATGAGATGAGCCCTGTAAAAATGTCTCTCTTGCAAATTGAATGTCAAATTTTTAGTTTAGATAATTAGCTTATGTAGTTCACACTTCTGATTTAGGTAATTAGTTTATAGTCTTTGCTTTCCCTAAAGATGCAAGGCTTAACAGAGGTTCACCAACTGAGTTCAGCCACAGTATTGAAATAAAAATGTTCTCTTTTTATAGATGACGTTTTTAGAGGAAGAGATTGAAGGAGCAGCTTGTTCCTTACACAGATTTTGTTTTTCTACCTGTTCATTAAAAATTTACTTATTGGGAGTAAACAATTARATGTTAAAGTAAAATATCCCACAATTAAACAGTATCATGCTCCCATTCATCTGATACCTGTTATTTGCTAATATATGCCTTTTTGTTGTAAAAAATGTGTCCCACATGAATTTTAATTCAACTATAGGTATCTTGTAAAGATACTTCCCAAAGGACATGCTGTAGCTCTTACGACTTTTATTAGCAACCCTTAAATAGGCAAAGCAGTCATAAGCCTGCTTTAACACTTCATCCTGAAATTTTCAGGCCTTTATAGCAAAGCAGCTTTTATAAATAATTGCTAGTTTGGTATGCCTATCATGTATAGCATTAGAAAACTCAGTTCTTTTCCAATGACAGTGTTGGGAAATTGGACTACAACTAGAGGAAATGTAATAGGTCAGACCTGCTGTAAGGTGTCTGCAGRTAATGCTGTTTAACCTGTTCTGTTGTGCCTACTGCTGTTCATTTGGTTATTGTTGAGATAAGTCTGATGCTTATTATTTTTTTTTTTAATATTTTTTAATACTTTGGGTTTTTTTCCTGCTTGGCRAGGAAGGAGAAGAGCATCTTGTAGTTTGTATCAGTTACATGTATACATTGAAATTATTTTATCGAATCCATTTTGTACAGTTCTCTTATAAGRGTGTTGTGTGGGCTGTGATATGTCTTTGACATATCACAGTTCTGCTGGATCAGCAAGACCTGCTAGTCTGATGCAGGGAAAGCCAAAGCAAGTTTATTCTGCTTTAGTATTGCTCTCTGCATGCTTAATGCTGGTGCTACAATATGTTCTCAGTGTAACTTGACATTTATTGAAATTAAAGTTTGGCTGGCTGCTATTTAATTTTCTGGCTTYTRCTTTCCTCCTTCTCCTCTTCYTCTTCCTCTCGAGGTTRGCAGTTTTACRKGACTCTACCTGTTTCTTTTGGTATTCAAAGRGAATTTCTGGTAACAGACATTATCTTGCAGATTTTCTTCATTACTGGAAGGGTTAACTTTAACAAGTCCAGTACAGTGAAAAACATCTGATTTCTTTAAATAGTGTCTAGCCTTTTTTCCTGTTCCAGCCTGTATGTTTTGACCCTTTAKTCTTGCTTTCAGTCATTTGATCATTTCTGTTAATGAAGGCAGGAGGAAAAAACACATGCATCACTGAGGCCCTTTCAGAATAAGCTTGTGCTTTTTTTGTTTCCTTTTTGCTATCAACATGCTTTTGCAGTGCTGTTTTTTAGGACGAATTAGGAGAATGAAATGCTCGTGCTGTTTGACCAGTATATTTGAACCAGAGTTTGAGTCCCTAGCTGAAGCCTAGAGTATCTTTTACTTAGCCAGTTCTGCTGTACCTTTTATGTTCTTCAGATGCAATACAATTTTGGCATTTAAAAGATTCATGGGGAGCAGGTAGGAAGACAAGAAGGGTTTAAAATGTATCTGAAGTGGCAGGCAATTTGAAGTGCAATAAATACAAAATGAAGTCTTCATAATATTTGTTTTTTACATGATTTGTAATTAATCTTTGAAAGAAAAAAAGAAAGCAGCTGAAGTGYTTACCACTGATATCTTCCCCCAGCTCTGTCGCTTACTGTCTCTCCTAAGAATAGAGCATTGTTTGGTGGGCTGTGTGTATGTCTATTTTTGTCCTGTGTAAATACTTCTTTTTGTTTTGTTTTGATCTGGGTTGTTGAGAATAGAATTAAGTGAAAAAAAGAAAAAGAGAGGGCAGATAAAGAGGGAATTTTAATATTTAATTAATGTTGTCTTTGGCTTAATGTTTTTAGACAATTGACTGTTGTGCCTAGATTATTAGATGCCATTGCCCATCTGCATTAAACATGTAAATGTGCTCAAGAAGTACCTTACAGCTCTCTGCAAGAGGTTACATGAGCTTTAGCAAATATCCAGGCATTTTGGCTTGATTATCCATTCTGATAGATGCAGCAGTAAGCAAACTTCATGGTTTCATGGTATTGTGAAGCATCTAACCAGTTTAATTGCAGATTTATCTGGCTGAATGTGAACACAGAACAGAGCAAAGAAAAAATAGTTTTTCAAATAACATAACTAGSTGGCCTTTGTAGTCATTCCTGCGCTCAGTGCAAATGTATCTGATCGAATTTGCCCTAAGCTTCTTTTAGAAGTGTTTTCTTCTGCTCATTGATACATTTCTGTGAGATCTTTTAGTGCCACAAATGATGTGTTGATGGTGTTGCTCAGTCAGCAGTCCTTGTTTTTCATGTCAGAATTTCTGTGGGGAACCATCAAGGTTCCCTGCTTTGACTTCTTACGTCGGTAACCTTATTGCAATGTTTTTTTTGTAAGTCTGAAGATATGTCCTCACCCTTGTTAGTGAGAACTCTGCTTTCCCAGACTGTGCATTGTTCCATCTGCCATAGCCCATTWTTATGTTTGTGTTTGACATCTCTGGAGATGCAGAACTGAAAGATCTTTTCTGATTTAGCGAATCCACCTCTCTATTGCCTTGGGCTGTCACACCACAGGAGGAAACTGTCAAATAAAATCCAAGAGAGTTAAAGTGGAACTTGCGAATTTTCGTTCCTCCACACCTCAAACCACTTTTAACAGCTTGGACGCTATTATCTTCTCAGTTGTCTTATATTCTTAATSTCACTTTTGGTTTGGCTTTTATCCAAGCAGTAAACACATTCTGGTGCTGCTTTGTCTATAGCAGCAAAGTTTTGATCTTTCTGTTCATCCTGTATCACTTAAATTCTCACCAGGTCCTTACACATTTTGACATAATCAATTTTCACCTGCACTACCTTTAATTGCTGCAATATAACCACAATGGGTCTGTCAGATATTTTGCTATCAGAATAACTGCCCTTTYGGTTTTCCACTTTTCACCTGACCATATGTGCAATACTTTTGGCTTTTCATGKTCTGCARTGAAATAYTCCTCTTTGTCYCAGTCTGATGTGTRGAATRAGTGACACCAGCACCAGGTTCCATCAGTGTTTCAGGTGCTCACTTCTCCTTAGGCAAAACTGGCTGAAAAAAAACTATGTATAGCAACTACTCTATTTCAGGTCACTTCTCACAGTTGTTCTTTGTTGTGAAACCCGGAAGAAATTAATGGTTACTCTTGTGGCATGCCTGAGTCTATTCTCCCTCCTTCTTCAGTTATGTTGCTGACATTTCTTCTATTTTTATTTCTATCTCTAGCTGAAACAAACAAACAAACAATTCATGAACTTGAAAGCYGCTTTTTTTCATAATGTTGTTTTTGGCTTTTTTTCCCACTTTTTAACAGCAATTTGAGAATTAGCTAATTTTGTTTTTTGAGTCCAACCACAAATGTTATGTTTAAGCATTAATGTTGTCATATTAATTGGTTGTTCATATGTTGTTTATAGCAGCCATGCTTGGCTGCTGGTCTTACTTTTGTAAAAGTTTTTGTAAAAGTTTTTTTTTTCCACTACTTTGTCACTGTGTTACTGTTATTTATTTTCATACTATAATACAGGTCGATACATTGTAGCATCTGCAGATTGTATATTCTGGCTACAGATTTTCTATGCCCAGAGTCTTGAAAGTCTCTTACCAAATCAGTGCCCTATCAAGCCTGCCTTCTCATMTGTTCTGGGTGCTGTATTGCCTTTACTTTGTATCATTTCACATCTTTTTGTGGCCTGTGTGAAAGCACGGTGTGAATAATTAATCCAAGCCCATCAAAACTACATTTATATTTTAATGTTTTCATGCCYTGAAACAGTTTGAGGAAATAGCCAGGCTTCAGAGGTGTCAGTTTATACATCTGCTCTGGGAATTTCTTCCTTCTGTGATTCCTCTTCTAGCTCTAATCTGTACTTAGATTYCTTAAATGTGGAGATGGATTTTTTTTCCTCTATTTTTTCCTTTAATTTTGCAACAATGCACTGGTATAACCTGTTTCTCACTACAGATTCTATTCCTTTACTGTGAATATTTCACTGCTTTCTAGCATCAAGATGTCTGCAGGATAGAAGTTTTCATGGAATGGTAGCTTGATTGAGAAGTTCAATTGTGTTTTGCCTAAGTTAGCCACAGCTCAATATAAGCATATGCATAAGTAACATTCCTTTGATATGTTTCTATGTGTGGTTGCTGTCAGATTGAAGATTCTGTCTCCAAAGGTGAGAAGTCAGTCTCCCAAAAGGCAATTGGTCTAAAGTCTGTTTGGGTGTTAAGGTGTAGGGAGAAGATTGTTCACTGCCTTTTTCTTTTTGTTTTCTTTGGATACTGATTACATGATGCAATTTTTTTTCACCCGTTTCACTATACTGTTCGAATAGAAAAGTCTATGGTTGTCTGTAGATTGAGCCTTGATTTAAATTACACCTTAGAATTTGAAAATTCCTTCATCTTATCTGGCATCTGAAACTGTTCAGCCGGGGTCATCCTTGTGGGTTTTGTGTGGTTTAATTTGTTTAATTCTTTGTTTCAGGAGGTGTCTGCAGATCCTTCAGGAACTCTCACAGCTGCTGAAGAGAGAAAAGAGAAGGTGCCAAGCCCACATCTCAGTCATCTCGTAGTTTTGACATCTGGCAATTTGCTGTATGGTTTGGCAGAGAGAGTGGTGGCCACAGAATCCTTGTAGGTTGTTTATTGTACACACTGTATTTGCAATTACTGAAAGCTATTGATTGTTTAAGAAATTGTGGTTACAAGCCAAAGCCTTCTTGACAGGTCAAAAACTCCTACCTTTCAATGTGATTTTAAATATGAGCGATATAGGTAATTTCCTTATTGAAGGTATTGGGGTCTTATTGTTTGGTCTAGCAACCAGCAAGCACAAGAAGTGAAATTTTACTGCAGATGATCTAGTAATTTGTGACAATACAAGGCCAAGTCTAACAGGGAAAAAAATGAAGAGACTGATGGGAATATTTAATCTGTATGGTTCATTTTCACCTTGTATTAAATACTTGACTCAGAACCGCTTAGTTCATGTCTGTTTGGCTTGAATTACTGTGTTCTTTGCAATGGGTAGAAGTGTACCTATATCACATCGCAGGAGAAGAAGGGATTATAACCAGCAATTAATGCAAATGGTACAAAGATTTTTATTTGAGAAGAATAATAGTAAGAGTCAGATAGGAATTAATTTTTTCCCCCATGAGATGACACTTAAAGATTAGACATTAATTTTAAGAATATATTTTTCATTTATGCTTAGTTAGAAATGTATTTCTTTATGATGTTATTATTAACAAATTCTACCCCTGAGAAGGAATATAAGATCAAATTGTATCTTATCTATTCACTAGTATAAAATTAATTAGGAATGTTATTTTGAAATTCTGACACAGATTTATTGATATTGATGTTGACAGTCCTGCAGTAGAAATTGTGTGACTCTTGGTCACTGACTTTACTAGACCTTGGCTCAGACTTTTGCAKCATATCCTCAGTAAAATAGAAATATGAATTGTTGATATTCAAGCCTTAGTCTCTTTATTCAAGTATTTTCTTGTTTGTAAGGATATTTTTAAATTGTTGGAATTGAGAATGCTAGTTGATATGCTGGCATGCAACTGGTATGGTTCTTCTTGGGGCTAAATTTTCCATGGTTGCCTATTGTTATTGCCAAATATGTCAGCTGTAGAGTAAAAATTGTAAAGAGACATGCCAAACATTGCACTTGATTTACAGCAAATTTTGTTTGCTTTTGAAGGGTATTTCTGGCTGAGCAGTTTGAATTTCTTCAGCCTCATCTTGATGCAGTGATGCCAGCTGCCAAGAAGCCTTTTCTTCAGCAGTTCTATTCTCAGGTCAGAATTGTACAAYTCACAGCTGATTTTCATACAGAAGATTTGAGACTTGTACATTAKGGTGCAAATACTTGTATGTAATAGTTATATTTTGCTCCTACTAGCCAGRAATTTACTGAATTGAATTTTATTTMTATTCTKTTTCAGACAGTATCAACTGCCAGTGAACTACGTAAACCAGTTTATTGGATTGTTGCTGCTAAAGCCATTGATTATGAACAAATGCTGCTTCTCATGGCTAATGTGAAATGGGATGTGAAGGAGATCATGTCACAGCACAACGTATATGTAGATGCTCTTTTAAAGGTGAATAGTTTATGGGAAATGGAGTGCAAGAGTATATAGAAACACTAAATTGCTGTCATACTTCACTAAAACTGTGAATGCCACTAAAAGTAGTATGGCTAGAAGAATATGGCATCCTGACAAATAGGAAATTATTATGAGGAGGTCTGTTCAGAAGTCTTGATTCTAAAGCATTGTTTTCTGTGGTGGTTTTTTGACTACATGGTGTGTGAAAGTGACCACAAAAGTTTAATGAGTCTCGTGTCTAAGTCTTGAATGGTAGAGAAATATGTAGTAAACAGAGTAACAGTGAGGGAAATCCAGTGGCCAGAGACAACATCTGTTAAAACAAAACACATTATTTGCTGTTCCAAATAATTTTGCTGATCGTTTGTGAGATGTGTCATAGGAGCTGTAGGTCAAATCAGAACCCATAATGATCGTGCAATATCTAATTGAAGTTGCTATATTTAGAAGGTAAYGTTTGAAAAGGAAGGTAAAGGGATTTTATTCACCCAATTTGTCAGTTGCATTCAGTAGATGTCATACAATTGCCATGTCTTATGACATACTGAACTAGTTCTTGGGACAAACCCTTTCCCATCCTTTTATGTATGCCTAAATGTTTCTAAAGGACTTCAAAGGGAAGTTTTGGCAGTGGTAGAATTCTGCTAATTAATTATACTGTATGAATTATTAATTCTGTTCAGGGAAACTGAAAATTTAATTTAAAAGATGTGTGATGTGTGAATCACCGAAAAAGCTACACATCTGTGTGGAATAGCACCTTTGTACTTTGTCACTCTGCTTAAAAAAAATCAAGGCAAAGAAGGAAGAATTTGACAGAGGATATATCATTGCACTGAATTTGATGAAATCTTTGGGATTATCCTTRTTTATGCTTCCATTGCTTTTTGTTATCAGTTTGTGCTTAAAATCGCTGGTCTCTGGGGCAAAACTTTTTCCTTCTGTGAGTATGCAGTTGTAGTTGTGAGTATGAATTTGCTTCAGGACAATCAGGGCTAATACCATTTAAAACCAATTTTGGTCTCTTCATTCTAGAGCTAGTACTAGYTGCTACAAAAACTTTTAGATAGTTGCTAAGCAATGAGTGCTTTTCTGGGTWCACTGGGACTGCAGGAATGTCATATGTAAGCACAGTGTTTGAAGTAATAATCAACTACTTTCAGCCATGTGCACAGATACACAAAGTTCTTTATTCATAGTGTGTCGGAAGCTGATGAAGTAGGGAAAGAGGATTGTTGAAGAAATTGTTTGTTATGGAGTGTAAGGCATCTTCAGAAGAGTGAGTTGTATGCCAGTTAAAGCATGACATTGTGGTACCCTGCATCTTCTTGCCAATTTAATCTTTCAGAAAATTTGTGTTAAATGCCAGTTGGTTACTGAGWTTCCCTAATGATTTTCTTCACTTACTAAGTTTTTTGGGGAGGGGGCGTGTGAGAAAAAAAGAAAAGGAAACAACTGCTGGTTTAACAACTTTGGAATTCTTTATTGGAAGAACTTTGGAAGTTCTTTGTTGGGCAAGTATGGTCTTGCTAGACTGCACTGCAAATTGCTTTTGCTGGTTATACAGAGGAGTTCATTACCATTCTGCTTAATATTGAAGTAATTTGATACTTTTTAAAAATTATAAAACCTTTAATCATTGGCAGAGGTCTTCTGTTTCACTTTATTTAAGTAACAAAATCATTGTTGCAGTAACTGCATTCAGTTAGGACAAGTTTCTCCCTCGTAGTATCAGCTCAAATCCATCCAAGACATTGATGATTCATGTGGAAGCAGGTGCCTTCCCTTAACCTGAATTGTTATCTAGTGCTGCAGTGTGGTCATAAACTGTTAAATTTGGCCTCTTTCAGTRGGTGCTCTCAGCTCCTTCTAAAGCACTGAGGAATTACCTAATATGAAAGGTTGAAGAATGAAAAGTGGTTACAGTATTTCTGAGCKTCTCTTTGAAAGCTGGTGGGGTGGGTATTTAGAGGGATAAAGAGATCATCACTGGATWTTCTTCAGTGGCTGTATATTGACTTAAAGAAGTTAAATATGAGTTTAGGGACTGAGGCAATGAAAATGGCATTTGAAGGATAAGCTATTTGGTTCATTTYCAGAGATGTCATTTTCACAAAGAACTACAGCTCTGGGGAACAGAGCAGCAGTTCCTTTAAAAAAATCACTGAGGTAATGTTGTGAGTGATATACTAGAAAGGGATAAGTTTTCTGCTTTACACATTGAGCTTGTCTCTACAATTTGTGCATATTAAGCCTCTCTGCTTTGCTCTTATTTTTCAGTATTCTCTTTCATGTGCATWTCTAATTAGTTGTTGCTGTTGTTGGATGTACAGGGTATGATCCATTTCATGCTGAAGGAATAAACATCTTTTATGTTTTCCCAGGAATTTGAAGAATTTAACAGAAGGCTGAACGATGTATCTAAGAGAGTCCGTATTCCACTGCCAGTCTCCAACATCCTGTGGGAGCACTGCATACGCTTGGCCAATAGAACTCTCGTGGAAGGGTAAGCATTTATGAATGTCTTGATTTTGGSTAAGTATGTCTATAATGATAACATTTATTGTATAGAGTTAAAATTTCTAATTTTATAGTGTCCTTGTGAGTTCATGTGCTTTTAGTGACCCTGAAAATTACCAACGCTTAACATARAACTTCAGAGTCTGGTGCAGCATTAAGCCTAAAGGGGGTGGTCTTGTTCCTAGATTCTGCTGAAGAATGACACTGAATGTTTTACTGMAGTATTTGAAAATACAGTACTCCTTCAAAAAGACTTCTATATGAAAATTATAATTGGCCAGCAGAGCAAGGAAGGAAGGAAGTGTAATTRTTGGTAGTTCTATGGTGATGCCATTTTACTTTTCCAAGAAGAAAGATGAATTTATCAATGCTATCACTTACCTTAAAGTAGCCATGGAACATGATTTCTCAAATTCATCATTACCAGAGAAATGTCTCAGTTGGCTTGGTCAACAGAGGCTTGAGCAMCTTAGTCAGGAATTGCTACACCTTGCTCATCCCTTTTTCTTTTTATCAGTGTCCCAGTCTTTTCTGATTCAATTCTGTTGCTTGAGTATTGTAGACTTTTAATCCACTGCATTTATTTTTATGGGTTTGTCTCCTTGCTACATATGTTTGGGCTCTTATCAGAACTTTTTCTGCATCACAGAATATGTTCTGTCTTCCACTCCTTCTACATATGTTGCCATATTTATTTTCTGGTTATCTTTACCCTATTCACTCCTTATTACCTATTTTACTTCTTTCCATCCCACTCTCCGGCTGTCTGCTCTAAATTAGGACCTCAACAAAAAACACGCTTCTTCTCCAAGAGTTAGCTGCATATTGAGAATTATCAGCTTCCACTGGCTTCCATAAAGCCATMATTTTTTATCTCATGCCCATTTGTTTTCATACCATCATCCTTTTTCAGTCTYTTGAGAGATCAGTTTCATGTTCATGGCCACTAAATCTATCCATGACCTCTCTCTGGCTTCTCAATTCCTTCATATGACATATGGCCTGTACAACTAACTTTCCTTTTTAAAGTTTTATTTTCCACTTATCATCCCTCAAATTAAATGAAGTGAAACAAAGGCATATCTCTTCTYCTTCCCCTGTTTCGCTTACCTTTCAAGCTGATAACGATGTCAGTCGCTATGAACCTCCTCTACCTCAGCCTTTGTGTTTGTTTTCAACTTGTTTCCTTTTCTTACATCACATCTCATTCATCTGTAGTGGCTTCAGTGTTCATGAACCATTTAATCCTTAGCTCTGAAGATCATCATTCATATGTCTTGCTCCATACTGAGKTTTGGGCTTACCATGAAACTTTGACCTTTACTTTTGCCTAAGCAGGATGGACTAGGAATACTTTCCTGATATTATTTGTCCTGCACCATTTCTGAAAGTGTAAAAAACATGGATTATCATCTTCTCCCAAATATTTGCCTGTAATCTCTTATTCTTGGCCAGTTTTTTTTTATTTTTACATGTCTTATATTTTTACATGTCCACTGTGGAAAGAGAAGGAAGGTATTCTGAATGGCTGAGTCTCTGAATACCTTMATAACTTCTTTTATCTCTGAATTCAATGAATGTATGGAATTAAAAACCATGAAGGAGGTGTCTCTCATCCAGTCATCCAGTCWAATGAGATTGCTGTCATCAGGCTCTTCACTGGATGAAGAATTACTTCCACTACAGTCAGCTATATCTTTCTTTAAATTTAGTCCTTTGCTGTCTCCTAGTTCTATATTCTCTCCTGTTTCCTGGCTGGCTTCTTGAGCCTATTGAAAATCATCTTCTAGTCTTCTGTGAAGCTCCAGARGGCTTTTGCCTTGGTCATCTGTCTTTTTGCCTCTGTTACTTTTGCATTCTGCAAATTTTGAAATTTCTTCTTATTCTTAACCTGGTCTTGCTCTGTATCTAGTTTCCAGCTGCATGTTTCTACTGCCTTTTTTGCATTAGACCTAATAATCTAAGGACTATATAATAATTAGGATTAATTTCATGAATCAGTGAAAAACTGAGCTTGTTTTAAATTTAGTAGAGGGAAAGAGAGGAAACAGTGAGACAGGGTAGCTACTTGTGGCAGTAACTGGTGGATGAGCTGGATTAAGTCTCTCTGTTCAGACCCTGTACAYAGCTGCAATTGGCATTCTTAAGGGCACTGCAGTGTCATTTCCTTTGATTTGACAAGTGTAATTCCTTATCTGTTTGAAGAACTGCAGAGATCATTTTCCTCATTTGTTGCCTATCACTCCACTGCGATCCTTGTTGATACTACCTTGCCCTTAAACTCATCCACTGTCTCCTCTAACCTGTCAGTAGTTTTCTGTCAATCTGTGCTCATTAGAGCATCAACTTCCCACAGAGATGAACCAGTGCTGCCACCCTTTATCCTCTGGTTGTTGTGGCTGTTTTTGAACAAATAGCTTTGTGTCTTTCTTTGATGCTGCCACTTGCTTTAGCAAGCTCCTGGTGGCCATTCCTAAAGCTGCTGTGTTAYCTTTCAGACTCCTGTGGTGGTGATCACTTGAAACCACTATCCAGTCTGCTAATTAGCATTAGTTCAATTTCCTCYAACCTACTTATGTTAAGTTGTTCAATGTAGGATTTTTAGTGGCTTTTGGGAGAGAAAGGGGCRATTTTTCTAAGTATCACTGGGTAAAGTGGTGTTCTGTTCAATGACTGGGTTAAAATGTATTATACTAATGCAAATAAAGCTCTGCAGCAGATATCTGGAGAACTTCTTGCCTGCTTTTAACTTAAAGTCCTAATTTTGTTCCTCCTTAATGTTGGAAAGACTAAGTTAGACAACTTTGAGAAGCAAATTTCATTTTTATTTCCTTCTAAGTTTTACTTCCCACTATTTCTTTTTTTAGTTATGCCAATGTAAAGAAGTGCAGCAATGAAGGACGTGCCTTGATGCAACTGGACTTTCAACAGTTCTTAATGAAACTAGAAAAGTTAACAGACATTAGGCCTATTCCAGATAAAGAATTTGTGGAGACCTACATTAAAGCATAYTACCTGACAGAAAATGACATGGAAAGTTGGATAAAAGAACACAGGGTAAGAGTTAGATTTGCATTCTTTTACTGTCTATTGAGAAATTACAATTATAATAAAAACATGCTAACAACTATAAATAATAAATCCCACTATGTGTTAAAAATGAATATAAGCATCTATATGTATTTYTCATTTATTATAATAAAACCTATATAGGAAGCAGTATAAATATAAATGTATATGTGCATGTATGTGTTCATTTTTATCCTATGAAGTTAGTATGTGTTTGAATTGGTTCAACATCTGATGACTGGGGAGGATGACTAAGGTAGTCACACCTGCCTATTGGATCAAAAATGTAGAAAACAATTTGAGAGAACAAATGTAGAGAGCAAAGGGAARTTGAAAGCATTTGTGAGCTGTTCATAATATGCCAAAGTGCACAACTTTGGTGTTTGGTGTTAAGAATTCTTTTCTTAACATTTTTGACATTTTTTTCCTCCTTTATCATGTACTGAAATCAAAATTGTTTGGACACTCTGCAGACAGAGGCATTTAGAAGCTTATTGGAAACGGGAAGTCAAAATAAAAAAGATCATCAACAGTTATCACAATTCATTAAAAAAAAAGCTTTTCTGTTAAAAGCTTAATGATTTGCGTACATGTTTCCCACCAAACCTCCCAAAAATGGAAAATACATTAAAAATTGATTTATGTACATGTTCACACAATTACTTTCTGTGAACTTTGTCCAATACTTTTAAAGTCATAAGCATTTTCCATTATAACCTGCCATGTAGTGAAATACAGTTTTGGCCTCTGCCTCAACTATGAAAACTATCCAAATGTGACATAACAACAGCTTTAAATATCTCTTGTGTACTGATGCTTCTATCAGTTGTAAAATCCACACTGAGTATGTTTGTTTTTTTAATTTTTCAATCTTTGTCTGGTGTTTTATTCTGTCCTAACATGATCTGCTTTTGTTTCCCAGGAATATTCCACTAAGCAGTTGACCAATCTGGTGAATATTTGTCTGGGCACCTACATCAACAAAAAAGCAAGACAGAAGCTCTTAGCTACCATTGATGACATAGACAGGCCTAAGAGATAACTGGAGAACGCTGCTTTCTTTCTGACTTGTACCTTTCTCTGTTCACATAAAGCAYGCAGACATTTCTCTCATGGACTAATGACAACATTAGAAATGTTGTGCATGACCTTTCTTACCAACATTGGAAGCACTCTGAAGTGACATAATGTTCTAAAATAYGGCTTTTTTAATCTGTAGAATTATTTTCTGTTGTATTTCTTTCTTCTTTTTTGGTTACTTGCTCTTAGTAAAGGGCCACTGTTTGTGTAATATTGATGAGCTGTATATTTTGCAAAAGTGTATACTGTAAGTAAAATCAAAATCAAAGAGAAACACATTGGCTTAATATATCATTGATGCTCTTTTTAAATAAAAGGGCTACTTGAAAATATGATTTCTTTTCTCCCAGCTTTCACCTTCAGATATTGTRCTGTTTTATGGACCAGTGTAAAATGGAAGGATATGTATAATATTTGATTGATGTATCCTGCATGTAGATTARGAGTGCAGATCAACTAAGTACACTCATTTTAAAGCCCATCTTCTTCATATGTATCAAAAAATGTCTGTTTATTTCAGAATTAATTTAGTCATATCAAAATTATTGACTTCAGATTAATAGAAGGTAATAAACATTGTATGCTAATATGACTTCTTTGTGAGACTTTATTTTTCCAGTTCAGCAATGCAAATGTGAGCAGTAATGCCAGGGAATTGGAATTTGCCAGGGAATGCTTTTCTTACTGAAGTTTTGGATTGATACTAAGACACTACTTCCTGTTTCCTGCTCCACTGTAGACATCCTGGGTGATCCTGAGCAAAGTAAAATGGCTTGAGTGCATATTTGCCCTGGAAATCAATTTGTTAGAGCATCACTGACTTCACTAAAGTTTTCAGGTTTATCTTTTGCTTTCTGTGTGTAAAGTTTTAGGAATTTTATTTTTTATTACATAATAAACATTTTGCAGTGCTGTCAGACSTTTTTAAAGGAAACATTGAGCTAATAGGTAAAAGAAATTACATAGGCTGCAATCCACTAATGTGTACAACATGCTAAATTCTCACTTTGGGTTTCATATTTGCCATTGTACTTTTAATTCGAACATGGGAGAACTAGGACTTAGTGAATGTCAGCAGTAATTTAGTGATGGAAAATTGCCCCATGGAGTCATCCTAATTGCTCTTTTCTGTGGCCTAATTTCCTCTTCAGAATTGTATTGAGCATCATTGTGTGAGTTCAGAGAAAGTCTGTATACAGTTTTAGAAGAATGATAGAATTAAAATTTCAAATATTGACTGTGTGGTAGTCAGCTTCCTTGTTTATCTGTATTTTAAAGGAAATAAGATTTAAAACAAAATTTAACACTGTTCTTCATTGACCATGCTGTCATGCCTAGTTCTATTTAAAACTTGCTTAGTGGTTTATCACCATATATGTTGAAGCTGAATCAGTTTTACCCTCATTGAAAAGGTGGTTCAGATGAAAATGTGGACTTTTGCGTCAGCGTTTCTGCCCTGGAGTCAAATCCTGAGTGAGAGCTCTCGGAAGAAACAAACATGTTGGAGACTGTTAGCGTAAAATATGTTTTAATTTTCTTCTCTTGGATGAAATAAGAAATTCAGATATCTTTAGCAGAGCTTTGGTGAGCTGAATGCATGTAATTTGTYCTGAACTGCTTAGATCACTGTAATTTTATTGTGTACCAAAAGGTAAAGGTATAAGCTTTGATTGGAATGTAGGGTCAGGGTGAGCAATTGCATGAAYCACAATCAGGAGTGATTTTTTTTTTTATAGGATATCTGTAGTTTGGCTGGTTATTTTAAAGTAAGCCCCCAAATAATAGAATGTGTGAGATGCAGTGTTAAACCTATGGAACAACAATTTGATCTTCATTCATAAATGCCTCAGAAATCACTATATTTTCCACAGGAACATTTCTTTGCTGCCCAAGATTGATGCCAAGGAGGAGGCCACATAGCTAAATGACCTACATACACTCTCAGATACATGTTTTAATTTTTAGGTTGTCCAGTGTGAAATCAGATGTAGGACTCAGTGATCCTTGTGGCTCCATTCTAACTCAGAATATTCTGTATTACTTGGTTCTGACTGACTAATGAAACTAAGTTTTCACTGAGTGCTGTATTGCTTGTTATGTTATGTTAAGGATATGTTTGGTAGTTTCCATCCTCTGATACAAGAATTTCTTATAAACCATTTATTTTTGAACATTTCTGTGCATTTTTGTTCTCCTGTACAATAAGAAGCCTCTTACAGAAGATAAGAGAATGCACAAAACTGTAAAACTGCCTTTTCTTACTGTAAAAGACCTGTGTAAGACTTGCCATATTGTAAATTATACAAATGGATATGGAAAAAAAATGGAGATTTATTGTGGTTTTGATGGAATCTATTTTATTTATAACCACTGCTTGAAATGGCATAGCATAAAGGCTAAATGTTGTACTGACTGTGGGATTATGGTGAAAATATGGAAATAATGCAGTTTGCAAGCAGCAAGGTTTCTGTGTTTGGTGGGTATTTAAGGATATTTGTGAGTGTGTTGTTTTTGCACTGCACAGCTGGTTTTCATCAATCACAAACTTGGTTTTTAAGGATCTCCTTCTCATCCATGAAATCTTGACGTGTTATGTGGAACAGTATCGTAAGTAGTATTCAGGACTTCACAAATATGTTGTGGTTTGGSTTTTTTAAAGTAGGCATAAATCCATAACATGCCATATGATAAAATACGTCCCTGAGAAACAAATGATGGCATGGATAACCTTGGTTTTTTTGTTGTGGATCCACTGCTTAATTTTAATTCTGTGGAGTRTTCTGTCCAGCCCCAGAGAGTTTACATGTATAAACTAAATTAAAAATAGTTGTGTGTGAATGAAACCCGAGTTTACTTGGCTATTCTGCAAAACAAAATCTCTGCAGTATCTCTCAGCTGTGCTGGTTTGGTCTGGAATTTTGTATATGCACACWTGTGAAAAAGCCCTACTTTCAGAACAGATCTGTGTTACATTTATTATCTTGCACAGATTTCAATGTTGTCAGATTTAAAGTTGTCAAATAACTGTTTAAATGTCTTGATCTTTAAAAAAATATATGAGCAAGCTGAAGATCTAGAGGAAGGGATGCAGTGAGGTACCAGTTGTCACTAAGCATAAAATAAATGATCAGATGTGCAAAATGACTGCAGGTATTTCTGAAGATTTTTTTTACAAATAAATCCAGGGTTTGTACCTGAATGTATTTCCTGCCCTATATCACTAGTATATTTTATTCATACATGAAAAGTCATCCCATTTGTTGTATTCCAGTAAACAGTAAAAAAGAAAYGTCACTTGAGCCTTAAATTAAAAAGGATCCTTGTGCAGTAAATTTTTCCTGGGGCTGCTGTGTGAGAGCTCCAGGGATGGCACATGGAATATGCACCATAAAAGTGGGTTCCTTGAAATCCGTCCATATATTACAGTGTAACTATATGCACACACAGAGCTTTKTGTGCCAGCTAATTCAGCACTGGGGACTGCAAAAAAGGAATGGGAGAATTGAACAAGCCACATGCTATCGGTTTCTCTGCCATCACACTGACCCTGAAGCCTGGGTAGTAGTGCAGAGGTGTTTCCTTGYGGGAGTAACTGGTGTCCATTGAGGACAAGGTCATTGTCTGGGTCTGAGGTGTGAGCTTTGAGCACACTGAGTTCCCCCTGTGCTCCCACTGCCCTTGCCAGTGTCTGCTGCTGGTGTGTGCTCTGCAGSAATCACCACACGGGAGCTGCTGAGCAGGAGCTCCACCACAGCCCAAAACATCAAAAGCACTAATTGGTGCTCCAACTCGGTGGAACATGTTGCTCCTGTCCTTAAGGAAAGCTCGTGGATAGCCGTGCTTGCTATCCTGGCTGCTTGCAGAGGATACCTGTTTAAAATGCACAACGCTACTGCGTCAGGGCATGGGCAGATCGAGCTGAAAGCCAGCGGTGTGGCAGCCTGGGGAAAATGTASCTTGCTCTGGGGCAGCTGGCTGTCCTCTTGAAGCCTCAGACCCCAATAAATGCAGGAATTCAGATACCTGATGCAGTTWTTAGCAYGGKACTCAGCATCTGTGAGYTTTCAGGACCATTTATTTCTAGAAGTGTAGGAAAATGTCATTTATGTAAATGAGTTTGACCTGGGRCTGATTCYTGGCCCTGAGCTGCTGGTTCAGCTRTCTCTTCCAGCACAGTTAGAATATCTAAGCAGCCAAATGTTCCAACCAGCTGAGTGGTTATGGGTGGTTTATAATRTGYTACATTTCAGTAGAGAAAAATTTTGCCATGAATAGTAGTGATGTGTGGTGTGTCATGGTTATAATGCCATTAGCCCTTCCTTGCCCCATTGCAGACTCAGCCCACTCTGTGCTGGTGTCTCTGCTGTTGGAAAAGRCATTTCCTTCTCAGACCTTTATGCTGAGTTCTTTTTATTTTTAGTGAGGTGTTTACTTCTGCCTTCCATTGCTCAAAATCTCTTCGGTGAGATGTAGGGCTCTGGGTGATGCACGAATGCTTTTGCCTTGTGTGCTAAGAGAGMTCTCGGTGTTTGTTGCTGCCCTGTCTGGGAGGAAGGATTCCCCCGTGGGTGGCACATAAGGGAACAGGTKAGATCTGCTGCATTCCACAGCAGCCAGGTCACAGCCTCATCCTGAACTTTGATTCAGGTTCTGCTCTGTCTCAGTGTCTGATGTAAGGAAGTTTGTTATATTTTCCTGTTCTTTATTCCCCTAGTTATAAAAGCAATGACATTATTTATCACTTTTTTGAAGTTCTGTCAGGTTGTGGTTCTATAGGCATGAACTGATTTTTAGTGGCCATCCCCAGGTGCCTCAACCCCAGGCTGAAACACGAACTGTCTGTTGTCACAGGGTAACAGTAGGTGAACAACCAATGTGGATCACCTTTTTATTTTCCTTGACAAATGAGTTATTAAGGTACTGAGTTAACACCTAAATACCAGAATCCATATGCAAAGAAGCTCGACCAGGAGGTACAAAATGAGATTTAATATCTTGTTACCAGTGTAGATGAGACTTAATATCTTGTTTGTGCACAGAAGAACTAGGACATAAAATTCTTGAGCATTTATTTTTTAAATAAATAGTATTTTTTTGTAAAGCCCAGATTTGAGACTCCTACAGATGAAATAATAGGTAAAGAGATTAGGGAATATTTTGTTCAATGTCTATCCATGCTTTTTAAGATCTATGTCTTCAATAATGGGAAATGTTGGGATAATATCTGTAGAGACTTCTTTTTTTGGAGGCGTTACATTGATTAGCTTCGGTTGCCTGGGTGAGCGTGCAGACTCTAAGCTGCTAGGTTCTGTTTAAGCACACATTTAAGATTCTGTACAAACCTCTTCCCATGAACTTGGGTGTTCTTATATCTTCAGGCTGAGACTAATTTCTGTATTAAATTTCAGTTTTCTGCATTTGAAAGGAGTGAATTGTATGAATAATTAAAACACATTTATTAACCTCTAATGAATGGTCAGTAAAGCTGGGAATTGCACTGAGTGACATGCATGAAGGATGTTTTGAACCTTGCTCTTTGTAGGAATGCGAAAAAAGAATCTTGAAGCAGATTAATAATTCCCTGGATGTCAGTATGTTCCTGTATCACAACCTGAAAAATAGAAGTATAATATTCTCTAGGGTTATCTGGTTCTTCATGGTGAACCTTTCTGCTTTTCTATTTCATGAGGTCAGTGAAGGATTTTCAGACCAGACTCTTCTACTCTGCATGTTTTCCTGAAAATACGGTAGTGTTCATATTTGCTCTTTTACAAACGTTAATTTTTTAGGAAAAGAAAATTACAAAAATGAAGAACACTGGGCTTCTTTAAATATTTCAAATATACCTTCATCTTGCTTTACTTACACAGTATGGAGGAGAATAGAGATTAAAGCATTAGCTTCTTTTGCACATAAGTGACAGATTAATTTTTGGCTTTTTTTTTTCTTACGCACTCTACTGCACACTGCAAGACTAAAAAGAGCATAGTAATGGTCAGTGGCAGCTTGGAGGGGAGCCCTTTCTGTGGGCATCACTTCCAAATTCCATGAGTCTGGCCAACAGCACTCAGGAGCTCTGGTCATGAACCCCCCACCATCACTGGGTTGGGGTTTCAGTTAAAAATATGGAATTAATGGTTTCTGTTGCCTCAGTATGGCCTGAATCTGAGAATAACACAGGTTACAGCCATATTTGGCTAATCTCTGTTAGCTCGTGTGCACCCACAGCACAGAATCCCCTCATCCCCCTCCAAAGGGGTGCTAAGTCACCCGGTGGAGACCCCTGTGCCCCCTGTCCCCAGAGACTGACCCTGAGAGCACCTTCTGTCGAGGTAGCCCAGTTAGCACTGGTGTCAGCGAGGCTGGGGGCACCAGCCCTTGGAGGGGAAAGCAGAATGCAGCCCTGGGATTGTCCAGGTGTTGAGCCACACCTCCATGGGACTGCTGTGACCTGCACTGTGCCACCTGGAGTTTGGATCAGGCCATCATTCTGAAGCACCAGCCTTTCCTTGGTACTGACAGATGAGGAGATGTGAGTGCAATGAAAGGAGGAGATTAATGCAATCTGCTTCATCTAATCTTGGCTTTAATGGAATGCTCCAAGGAGGCAATTGGGACTTACCTTTCAGCACGTGCTGGAGCTTGGGCTCTGGCTACAGAGGCATTTCCATGCCAGCCCTGGAGCAAGGCAGATGAGGGCATCAGCATGGTCTAGGATTGGACTGAGAGCAGCACCCAGGCTGAGCAGAGTCACACCTTGCATAATGTTTCCAGTATGGGCTGAAGWCAGGAACAAATGGTAAAAACCTCACTGCAAAATGGATGAGCTTTTATGTTGGTTTTGTGATGATCAGATTCAGGATTAATGCAGTGAGGGACCAGAGAAATCAATAATGTTCTGCATGTTTGACAGGATCTCCCATCATCTACCCCGCTGTGTGGAGAGGACTAGGAGGACAACTGAGCAAAGTGGCCTCTCTGCCACCTTCCATGGAGAGGGAACAACAACCCTTCTAGTTCCTCCCCCTCATCTGTTAAGTCAGCCTAACTCCTAGWTTTTCATATTCATCTCAAATAATTATTTTGTATTCAAACTGATATAAATGAAAATGAAGAATATGTTGAACAGCTTCTTCTAGAAGAAGAAAACATTGTGTTTATATAAGCAGTCATTCTTCACTGTGCATTAAATACCTGCCTGAGTRTCAGTGAAAAGTGATTTGCAGAATGGGTGTATGTGCATTGTCTGCTGCTTAGAATGCCTATTTGGTGAAAATTAGGCTTGTCCAAATAATTGGGTGTAATGAAGAAGAAGCATATAGCTGCTACAAAAAGGCTGAATGCTCTTTGGAAGAAGAGTTAAAATTTCATTACTCCTATTGCAGTCTATAAGAGCAAGATAATCTGAAAAGGGACTACTCTGACAAATCACTTTTATTTTTGCTTCTCACAATAACTCACAGACAAAAGACAGACRTTTTTTGATGCACTGTGTCAGATCATTCTCTGTTCTGACTCAGCACCCTGCCCCAACCTTAATCTTATCCAAATGTCAGTTTGGTTGTACATGTGTTCGTCCCACCATCTTCCAAAATGTGGGCCTCAAGTTTTACCTGAAGGACCACAGCCTGTGTTTTCCCCATGAAATTTAAAGATCCCAAACCATTCTGTGTGTACAGGAGAGGAAGTGGGATCGAGTAGATATCATCSCCCTTACAACCAGCAGCAATGAGGTCATTGCCAGTGTCCCCTCATGGTTCAATCACGTGCCCTTAACTGGAAGAGCTTAGGAAGAAACCTGAGCAAGGTATAAAGTGTCTGAAAATGGAACAGTTTTTAGAACACTGAGGCATTTAATCCAATGCAGAAATGCACAATGCCAGCCAGAAACTAAATTCTGTCAGCCAGCTTGGAAGATAAATTCCCGTTGTAAGGGATAGGATGACCCACAAATGTGGAGGAGATTACAGGAAATGGTGACAGTCCCTGTTTCCTGCAGTCTTGCAAACAAGGTCATCACAGGTTTTCTTCACAGAGCTTTTSCTGTGAGGTTCACCATCTGCTGTGSTGCAACTCAGTGCCACTCTGCYGTTTTAGGACAGACARGAATATGACTGAAGCTTTCACAGTTTCTCAAAGGGAGGAAGAAATAAACCCCAAAATCCAGTG